AATAGAAAAGTAACTCACTACTTGCTCGTTAAAAAAAAATAATTTTTAATTTCTTGGCAATTATCATTCTGCTGGCAATAATGTAACTTTTTATAGAAATGTATTATCTGTACTAAAAAGGTATAATTTGAAAAATATGTACAGTGTACATTTTATACATATTTACATAACAATAGTAATTATATATGAGTTATTACTAATAAAAAATAGTACTACCTAATTAATTGTACCAAATTATCAATGGTAATTAATTATTATGGGTATAGTTAAGTATATGATGTATTTATGTCACATACTCACATACTCACAACATAAACCTTAGGTATGCGAAAATTAAATCATAATACATATAGAACACAAGAAGACCTTATAAAATTATAAAAAAAAACCGTTTATAAATGCCAAAATATGGCTATAATAATTTATAACAGTGCAATGTATAAATATTTTAATTTTATTTAATTTTCAGAAAAATAATGTTATATTCTAATGTAAATTCTAAATATAGTAATAATAACTAATAACCAATAAGAATTTTTAAACCGAACAGTTTTTGTACAACACTAAATTCTTTACAAAACCTATATAGTTTAGGAGCGTATAAAACTTAATAGTCCACACTAGATATTCATAGGAAACTTTCTGCAAAGGTACCTATCTATTGAGAGGAATCAAATAGCATAGGTAGTAAATTGAATTAATTTTACTGTTCTCGTGATTTAAGGTGTAATTCTACATGTCAAATGTCAAAACCATTGAAAACTGAATTGTGACGAGTTAAAATTAAATATACATACATATTAGAAAGGTAAACATAATAATCCCCTCATAGACTTAGATTTTTTTCTTTTCAATTCTCAATAGGTCTAAATAATTCGAAACTGTAACGCGTTATTCTATGAAAATTACTTATCAAAAGTAATTTCCATTATATTTTCGTTACTAGGAAATAATTCTAATGAAATTACGTAACGTGTTACTTTCGTTACGTTACTACCCAACACTGCTAATTTATTAGTAATAAACATTATAAACATTAAAAAAATATATCTTAATTTCAATTTTTACATACTTCTATGAGTTCTATGTGTAAATTATTGGAACTAGAAAGGAACTAACAATTTTGTTATTTTTCCTTAAAAAAAAAGAACTAGTTCATTATCTCGTTCTTTTTTTATAAAAACGAATTCGGTCATCGTGCCGTTCTATAAAAAGGAACTCGTTCCTTCCAAACACTGATTCTGTTATCAAAAAATCTAAAAAATGCATAAGCACAGTTTATTTTCATAGTCATATTAAGTTCAAATTTGAACGAAATTATATAAAAAAAACCTAGAATAACTATTTTAGTTATTTTGTTGTAATTGTATAATATCATTCGTGGGTACTTGAAACTTCTAAAGTTCACTATTATATATCTTTGATAGTAGGTATCAAGGTTTTTTGTTGATGTATAACGCGTTATAAGTATTAAGTACCTACCTAATGGATATTGTGATATGATTAATTTGGAATTTATTATAGGTACCTAGTACCTACCTATTATAGGTCAATTTTTTTTAATACCATAGATAAGTACCTATATTATAATATGTATACAGTTATACGGTATAACTTATACCTAGACTGACATACCGTCTCCGCTCAGAATCGTTTTTCTTATACAATGATATATCATTGAATTAAAATTTAATACCATCCATTATACACTGACCCCCTTGTAACCTACTGTACAGCAGAGCACCTTTTTTTTTTTTTGATAAAGGTAGACAAACTTATATAAGGAATCTTATTTTACATTTTCAAATCTTAGACTTAAAAAGAAACATTTTTATGAATTCTCAACTTAATTATTATAAATTTGTGTGGGAAATTGAAAACATAAAAGTCAAATTTAAGCAACTTGTGGAATGATAAATAACTATTCTGCCGTGCTTAACGAAAAAGCCGTATCTCCATCTAAGGAAAATGTTGGGAAATCGACTAAACAGGTTTAGACCCATTACTGATCCGTGCACCAAGTATAATTAACATACAATCCTAAAATAAACATGTGTATACAAATTTTATATCATAGAATTGATTTTATGAGTTTTTAAATATTTTCGTTAATTCCTTGACCATCAAAATGGACTTACTGGTTATTTGATAAGCACCATCAGAAGTAAATTTATAGTATACCCATTTCAGATTTCTAGGGAGATAGGTACCTACTGTATATTATATTCTAACGAAATTTTCATTATAATAGGGAGATACTGTTTTTTTTTTTAAAACTATAAAATATTATAAGGAAAATTAATAGAAAAATCTATAAAGTAATTACTAAATACTAACTTAGTAATAACTAATAATAAAAAATAATAATAATAATAACAATAATAATAGTAATAACTAATAACATTTATACAATACATTTGGTACAATATACATATAGTTATATAAATAAATAAGTTTCAAACACTTTTGAGCAAGTAAGACGTAAGTACTTTTTACTTTAAATTAACAATTTATAAAATAATTTAAAATGATTTAATCAGACTCACATTTTTATAATAATAACTATCATTATATTAACATTTTTAATTTTCATTATCACTGTATAAATCTGGTGCTTCCATAGCACACGGAAAATCTAGCCAGAATTGTTTCCTTGTTTCTGGCATTAAAGGAACTAATGTTTTTATGATACTTTTCTTTTAGCTTGGATGAATACCAAGAACTTTAGTTTTTTGATCTGGTTTTGAAATTCCATTTTTAATGATGTTGTTTTTTAAAAAATCAAGTTTTCCAAATGTACAATATTCACTGTAGTCAGTTATGTAAAGCAAATAATTCAACCCTCTTTCTGCCTTTATATGAACAATGTCACTAAGCATTGGTCTTATATTTTGCTTGTCCAATTTGTAAACAGAACATTCTGATTATTAGAATATAATTTATACACCAATATTATCAAATAGTAAATACGGAGATACTGTGTTTTTAGTTACTGTTTAGAATGTTTTTAAAATAAGCGAAATAACAGTAACTCCACGTCACTTACTGCTTATTTAGTACTTATTGATATATTTACTGTATTTTTGCTTCTAGTTTCACAAAAATTATGGACTTACTGTTTATTTTCATAATTTCAAATGCTCCTTTTCAATGTTAAATATTGGATATACTACTTTATCACTGCAAAAAATGGTACAAAACCACATTGTTAACCCCCGTATAGCAATATCTCAATTTCAACCAAAATTGAAGATACTGCTTTTTCGCTTAGCACGGCAGTATTATGCTCACAACCTAATGAATAATTTGTATATTTTAATAAATAATGAAATAAATAAATATAATATATACAAAATATAATCAGGATTATTTAGTTGTTATTTTTTGTTTTACTTGGTTTATTTTTTAAATAAATGACAAAATGAAATAAATGGACGAAATTTTTTTAAATATATTGATCCTAATCCTATGATTAATACCTATAATAATAATCACATTTTTCATATTTTTTTTGTAAATGTGATTTTGAAGTAGAATATTTTTATAAAATTGTATTTGTGTATAAAATATATATCTATGATGTTAACAATGCTTTTAAATAAAAAATAACTAATAATTCAATAATAATACGAACATCAACATTTTCAGAAAAATATTCTACTGAAATATGAAACTCATGTGTGACTTACACATTAAAACAATATTACTCTGTAAATGATAAATACATTTAATATTTATTAGTTACACCCATAAAAAATACATATATAACTTTCTATAAAATATCTATTAATGGATTGATGATTACATTCTATTTACTGATTTCTCAATTAATAATAAAGAACCTTTGTTTTGTTTAAAACTATGATAGCTAACAATTTATTTGGTTAAGGCACAGTATCTATATAGTATTGGTATACTAATATACCTACGCTATTTTTAATTGTTATTAATATTGTTAAAAACCTCAGTGGCTGAATAATGCATATACCTAGCAATATAATTTAAAGTAATATGTTCCATTCATATGTACATAAATTATAGGCACAATAATAAATAAATTTAATATTCACTTGAACAATATTCAATAGTGTTTCATTTAACTTATATATTATGTATTAGATTATATTTGTGTATTAAATATTTGCTTTATTTTTTAACAACTATGTGTGTGTGTCCCATTACTATTTCAATGTAATATAATGGTTTACCACGATACCATACATACTATGGTACTAGTTTCTTACAGGCTCGCCAGGGCGAGTGAAAACTTTATAACCCCACCACTCAGATTGGTTATCCCCCTGCCATCCATAATAATAAATACATCGTAGAACATAAAACAATGACATAAGGTTAAAAAGTGTTTAGGCTTTCCACGATTCCCAAAATTCCGCTACATCTTTTAAAATTGTTTCAAACGGATCACTATTATTTAGTTTTGAACCATTTGTTAGTTAGTGTCAATTAGTTTCCCCATTTGGCCAAACCCCACACTCTCTCAACATTTTGTGCGTGGGCTCCTAAGTTAGGGTCCACAAAATTGTATCTATGATTGACTTGATTACGTTGAAATCCGTGTTATTGCAAATTAGAATTTATTAGATTAATAATCACCAATAAATAAACTCAATATCTTATATATTCTATATGATGTATTTATTATTATGGATGACGGGGATAGAGATAACAAACCAGTGGCAGGGCATAAAGCTTTCACTCGCCCTCCCCGGGGCTATAACAAACCAGTACCTATATCATATTATCTTTCTATGAAATGTATATTTTTATTTATACCGTAATAATGTTTTTATAAAATTAAATAAGTTGTAACTTTAATTTAATTACATATAAATATAACTTATATTCATGAAAAAAATATACATTAAAACATAAAATAAAAAAAAAATACAATTAATAAAGGTAAAACAAGCATGTTGATATGATAGCCTTAATTTTTTTTTTCTTTTACATAATCTTAATACAATACATTGATTGCAGTCTTATTTTTTTCTTTTCTCGGCAGTTGGAAATTCAGTCATACCTTTTCCACCTAAGCCACAGGTGCCAATGCCAACTCGTCCGTTAACATTATCAGGAGAGGCAAATATGCTTTTTTTTGGTATGCCTTTTTTCACACCCTAAAGATATGGAAATAAAATATATATGTATTAATGCAAAAGTAAACTAAATAATATTTCATTATTTTTTAAACACTATACAGCTTTACAAATAAACAATTTCTTGTAAATATTGTCTATACAAGGGGATTCTTTAGTTATTAAAAACTCATTATTTCAAAAAGCATAAATGTTTTTAAAAATATAGTTTCAAGTCATTACAAAACAACGTTTTTACTAAAAAATTAAATTTTTAAATATTATTTATCCTTAAAATTTTTTAAGTTGTAAGTTAAGATGAGCGGAGTAGTGGATAAACATTTTGCGGAGTAACCCCATACCACTCCACTCATCTATACTTTAAATGATTATAGCTCATAAACTACTAGCTCTAAATTCAATTTTTATGTATCAAAATACTTAGAAAAATATTCTACTTTAGAATATGAAGTTAAAACTATTGTCATTCAAAAATATAAAAAACTTGAAAAATTATAAGGATAAAAATTATTTTAAAAGATAATTTTTTAGTAAAAACTTTGTTTTGTAATGAATTGGAACTATGTAAAATAATATTTTCAAAAACATTTACACATTTTGAAATAATGAATGTTCAATGATAAATGTATCCCCCCGTAAATACTAAAAACTTCCATATTACAGTCTCATGGAGCATAAAAAAAAATTGTATTAGATAGTATTTTTTATTGTATTTTGTTAGAATAGAATTAAATTTGGTTCTGAAATATATTTTGTTTAACAGTAAATTTTGTTAAAAGGAAGTTTGTTGTATGGAAGTTTCACTGTAATATTTATTCTTATTACCCTCTGACTATAATATAACTTAACTATATTATCCGTGCCAATTTCTGAAACTTCCACGGTTATTATTACATTTAATCAAAATTAATAAAAATTTGACTTAGCAAATATTAATATATTGTAATATCTATTAATGTAATAATTTTCAAAATTATTAATTAGTAGAAGTAATTTATGGAAAGGGCGGTTATAGTTTTATAATAACTATCCTATATAATATTCTAACAACAGTCAAGTCTAGATATATTTATTATACCATAAAATTAAATACTGAATAACCCATATTTAATAATACCTATAATAAATGTACCCATATCATGTACTTTTGAATAAAATAATGATAATGATAAACTCAAATTAATAATCTCTTTGATTGTTATAAATTATAATATAAATATTAATATATGGATTAAAAAGTAAAAAATTGACCTTTGTGACCAAGAAATAATATTAAAAATAATAATTAATTGTTTTATTAAAATGTAGAAGAAATTATATATTATTAAACGACGTGATTATATGATCCATATCACAGCGGTTAACAAAATAAGGTACTAAATAATCACAATAATTTATTTCAGTTATCAGTCATTAACATTTTATAAAAATTCTGATTTGTATTATTTTCTTATTATATTTATAAAAATTATAAAACCACACAAATTAGGCGGTCACTCGATTTTTAGAATGGTAAAAATTTTCAATTAGTTTACTTTACTTGTAAAATTTTACATGGTTAATTTACTACTCGTATCAATAATTATAATTGATGGTTTATGACAAGAATAAATTTCAAGATAATGCAAAATATTAAACAGTTGGTGTCAAATGTGAAATGATACAGATTTTAATTACAATATAAAAAAAAAATTTGAAACAGAAGAAAGTTCAAGATTTAAAAAAAAAACATATTACAAAAAAAAATAAAATTTTTTTTTAATCTGTAATAAATTATGATTATACTTTATGAGAATACAATTTACTTTAATAAACATTTTGAAGTTAACATTTTGTTATTTTAACATAATACTATAATATGTATTGTTTTATAATATTTTTACCTACATTTCAGTTGTTAGGTATGACTATGGGTTATTAATAATTATGAGCTAACCTTTAAATGTTATAAATTTATTTATTTATAAACAATTCTTCTGTGCAAACAATTATATTAAATATAATATAATTGTATATCTGGCTGTAAGCTGTATCATAATAATTTTTATAAGATTATTTAAACTTAGTTTATAAACAATTTATTTTAGGTTTCGGTAAATTTATTCTATTAATCAAGATTATACTAAGTAGAAACTTATAAATATCTAATATATCTTACTTTTGTAGCAAATGCTAGCCATTTATTTTTTTCTACTTCACGTTCCTCTTCTAATTGTTTAAACCTCTGCTGTTTAGCAAGTTTTCTTTTCTTCTGATATTCTCTATACTTAGCTACTGGTTGTTTCCTATTAACATACAAAAATAGTTTAAAAATTAAAAAAAAATTTAAATGTTTAAATGTTTAAATATTTTACTTGTGTTTCATTTCATTAGGATGAGTTCTAGGTAAATCTTTAATAAAATCTAATGTTGTTACTGCAGCGGATTTTTGTCCATCAATTAAAACTGCCACCGCTTCTCCATCAATAGTCTCAATAGTACCTTCATAAAATTTACCATCATCCGCTAGCTGAGCCAAACATCTGTCCCCTGATTTCCATTCCCCTTTCGTCTTTGCAACAGATGGTAGTATATCAGGTTGATACGATGATTCTTTTTTTGTTTGAACTAAGATAAATACAAAGTATGTTAACAATATAATCATCCTATCAATTTACATTTTACTATACATACCAATTTCTTTTTTTGGCTGAGCTTGCGTTCTTACAAGTTCAGCTGTTAATTCAATAACTTCTTCTAAATCGGTTTTTAATTTCATGAGTTCTGGGTCATCAGGACTATTTGTCAATGCAGCTTCTACCTACAAGTAGAATAAAATATAAGCAAAGCAAATATTACATTTACGTAAGCATTTTCCCCAAAGTAAACTAATTAGGGCCTATAACAAAAGTGTATTGAATTGATACAATTTATTATATACTATGGTCAATAGACCATAGCTTTGCCAGACAAACCTTACCGGTGCGTATAAACGATTACATCCGAATGTAGAATGTTCAACACGGCTGAATCCTAAAAATTCCGACAATCTTTTAAAAAATTTTTCTATAATCTCAACCAGGAGTACTTTTATTTAAATACAGACCATGGTTGTTTGTTTTTACAGTAACCAATCAGTTGGTGAATAAATATCAGCTACAACTGTTCCAACTGCTGGTGCCAGGTGAATTGGGTATAATGCAGGTAAAGCAAATCTGAAGACTTTTATGAACAGCAATTTTTCTCTACAATTTTATAAACCGGGAGAAATTATAAATTATATTTTAATTAGTTGTTTGCCTAATTGTAATACCTTGATACTTTGGATGATGCCGATGTAAGATACAGATGATGCTAATAATGTTTCCCATTGCTGCATCTATTTATTATTAAAAAAAATATATTTATGGTGAAGGATTTTCACTATAAAATGTTTCTTTTTATTTTAATTAAAACTGCAAAGATTGTGTTCTTTTTAAAATTTGAACTCCAATGAGTGAGGCTTTTATTTAATATCAAAAATAAGTTAATAATTGCTTACATTTTTTTAATAGGCACTAATAAGGGATAGAATAATATGATAATGACATTAAAAAAAATAATTTAAAATAGAAATAAGAAAACGGAATGTTCAATTTAAACTTTTGATTAAAACAATAATTAGAAGTAGGTATATGATAAACATTTCAAAAGTTATAGCATTATCTTCATAAGCTATAATTTAAGCAAATACTTGAAATACTTAATTGTATTAGTGAGTAGAAAAATATAGGTAATTAGGTACTGCATACTACACTTATGTGTTATATTAATTGTAATGCACTATATTATTTAAATTGAATTGTATCATATCAGTTTCGCTCAATGGCAAATAAATGGGCGTTATCAAAACATTTTATTTTTAAATAGGTACCTAACTTTTAATTTCTATTATTTCAAAATTCAAAATTATTGTTTGCTTACATTCATTAATATAAATTGTTGTATTAGCTCAAGATCATCATAATATTATACTCAGTGGCGCCGAAGTCCTAAAAATTTAGTCGGGCAAAAAATATTTGAAACGGCCCCAATATTTAAATATTAGCCCAATGGCGTACATGAAAGGGTGGAGGACCGAGGAGGTATTAGTTTTTACCTAAAAATTATTGATGTTCAGTTTTAAAAGAAAATTTAAATCACACTTTTTTGTAATCCCCACCAACTAAGACGCATTAGAGACGATTTTGTTTGTTTCTGAAAACGGCCCCATGCTAAATTTTCAAAAGATGTCGGGCCAAGGCCCGACCTCAATATAGGGTTCAGCGCCACTGATTATACTCAATAAAAGTTGTAAAAATATTTAAAAATATACCTAAGGAACTTACTGATAATATACTATGTTTATGTTTTAAAAATGATTTATTTATAAAAGTGATGGTTAATATTACAAAATATTCACTAAAAATAAATTCTATAGGTAGGTACCTAAGAAATATTAAATGATAGGTACATTTAAATGTATTTAAATTATGTTAGCATTTAATTTAAATAACAACAAATGTCTTTAATACTAGAATTAGAAACTAGAGTCTATTTTTAAAATGTTATAACATATCGCAAACATAACGATCATAAACTCATTTACTGATACAGGGATATCTCAAATGTTACTATATTTATAGAATAAACTGATTGATTACCTAATTTAAATATTTTATAACAATCATATTTTATATTTTATTTATAATATATTTGCTAATGTTTTAGTAAATTAAAAGATAGAAGTACCTAAACAATTTTTGCATATCAAAAATGTGTAACTCTGTCAGGAAAGTTAGTCATTTATTTTCTGTTGTTTTAATGGGTTTTATTTTTTAGAAAAGACTATTCTTAATCGATTTTAGCGTAAGTTATAATACGACAGATAATATGTTATGAACTAAAATACAATTAAATGATTGAAGTGGGTACCAGCAAATAGCATTTTAGATTCCAGAAGGTAGGTCCTTCAAGCTGATTGCCGATTCGGTGAATATTTATGTGAATACTGTAAATAAATTAAGCCGGGTTCATAGCTATGTTTTTCGTCTTGTCCAAAAGTCGAGCTCGGCCCAACTCTGGAAATTTCAACTTAGATCAAGGTAAGTGAATGATAAAAAGATTACAGCGACCAATCAGAATACAATAAAAGGAATTTGACGCTTACGTTGTGAACCCGGCTCAAAATCCAATGGATTTTTATTCTCACATTTCGATGGTTTGTTAATCAATGTGATATGTGAAACAGGAGCACAACATCCAGATGGTTTTTTATTTTATGGACGTATGACGACAAATACATGTTACGTAGTCACATTGAATAACAAAAATCATAGATTTAATACATTTATATTTTATTTATCATTTTATACTGTCCGTGACGACGACATTGGAACATTATGCAAATAGTGAGAAACAATTACCTGCTGCAGTTGCAATTTGTAATTGATTAGCTCGTCCGCCATTGATAGCAGTCGTGTAGTTTGAGAACGTGCAAATTTGCTACACAATGACGTTGTGGCTGCCAAAACCGTACGTTTAGGTAGCTGATATCTTTTGGGATGTACAAATATATTATATTCGGACTCGTATAATACGAATCTGTGCGTATGTTTAGCAATACAAACCGTGACCTAGGCGTTAGATCTATCACCACTGACGAGTGTTGAAATAAAAATAACTGTTACTGTCGTAACTCGTAAGACGCGGTCGTGATTAAACGTTTTATGATTACAAATTACAATAATTCATGAATACCACGAGTAGTCACTGGCCAGCTGCTGCTGCGACGTAAAAAATGAAAATTTAACTATAAATAATAATTAATAATAATAATAATAATCTTTGAGATTCGGGTGGCAGAAAGTCTACCACTAAGCACGTCAAGTTACAACTCGCAAAGTTCCAACCAGACGGCAGTACAAGTCACAACGGTACGACGACGGAATACGGAAAGCCGTGTAAACTCACCTTAGATCATATACTATGCATAGACAATGCTGATTGCTGAATGCATGCATCATAGGACTTGGTATATAGATGGAAACACTGAGATAGATAAGAATGTATTGTATAGTCATAGAATACTATAGAAACGACACTCTCCCGAAATCCTTTGTTCTGCCTGAATCAATTTGATAAGGTGCATAACTTCATGTTCTCCCGCTGTGTTCACAACATCAACCATAGAATATTATCAAACCTTTTTTTTTTTTTTTTTTTCGTGGTATCGAGAACCAGAGGGGGGACCGCGTTAGCCACGGACTAACTCTGTTATATTTTTTGTCTTTCACACAACATATCGTTTTCGTTTTTAAATTTAACTACCTAAACTCTGTCCAGGCTCTCTGGCAAGAGCGCACCGGGCGGCGAACGAAAACTGGTCGAAGTTCGCGCATGATCCCCACCACAAGCAGCGTTGCCACCGCCGGAATCGGCGGCGGCTGACCACTTCGTTTATACAGCGTTAACGGCGGCAGCGGCGACGATTGCGCCGTCGTCGACAGCCGACGAATGGCGACCAATCACAGAGCAATTATACTCAGCCATGGGGTCCGGACGTCGTTCCACGATTCATTACAACTTACAAGTTACAACGGCCATGTGCGGCGCAACGACGTGCTTCCGGTTCCCCGGGCCGGACACTGGACAGCTCAACTCTGATCTCCGAAAACTGGCCGTCAACATGGTGCCGTTCCCGCGTCTGCATTTCTTCATCACCGGGTTCGCACCGCTCACATCCCGTGAATGTTTGACGCTAAAAACATGATGGCTGCGTGCGACCCGCGCCACGGCCGGTACCTGACAGCCGCCAGCATATTCCGCGGCCATGATGGCCGTATGTCCATGAAAGAGGTGGACGAGCAGATCTGCTCAACGTGCAGACAAAGAATAAGTTCTAAGAAAGAATGGATTTCTTTGTCCGCACGTTGAGCATCTGCGCATCCACCTCTTTCATGGACATCCAGCTACTTAGTCGAATGGATACCCAACAACACGAAAACCGCAGTGTGCGACATACCACCCAGGGGCCTGTAGATGTCGGCCACGTTCATCGGCAACACAACAGCCATACAGGATGTGTTCAAACGCGTGTCCGAGCAGTTCACGTCCATGTTCCGGCGCAAGGCTTTCTTGCATTGGTACACCGGCGAGGGTATGGTCGAGATGGAGTTCACCGAGGCAGAGTCCAACATGAACGACCTGGTGTCCGAATTTCAACAGTACCAAGACGCGACCGTTGATGAGGAAGGCGAAGGAGATGACGATGAGGACGCAGATTCATAAGCCCGCTGCAGCAGCCACAGCTGTTACTCATTTACACACCGGTGCACCACTCATGGTTATTACGGATCAGTCACGGACTATGCACTTAATTATGATTAAAATACTGCTGTGTACATTAATAACTATACATTTTTATCAAATTGTTAATAAAAGCTTTTTAATTATTTAAGTCCACGAGAGGTGTGCATCAACAACTATATTATTACCTACGTAGGTATTTTTCATGTTTTGAGGTTATACGATACGTATACAAATAATTTACTCAAAATATAAAACTTTTTTTGGATCCACCACACTTTAAAATACCTACCAGGCACCAGCCTAGGTAAAAAAAAACGAGTAAGTGGATGTTTCTCTGCTGTACAAAAGAACACAAGAGGGTCACACTTTATAATAATGTAATGAATGGTAATAAATTTGAATTCAATGATATTGGTAATATTAACATTGTATACCTACGAAAAACGATTATGAGCGGAGACTATTTGTCAGTGTGGATGTCTCACATTATATTTTTATAATTTATTACTTATTATTAAAACGGTAGCCGGTAAGTTGAATTAATATTATACAATTTCAACAAAATAACTATAATCGTTATTCTTGGTTATTTAATATGTAATTTCGTCTAAATTTGAAAAAAAAAAACTGCACATGTTTTTATATTTTTGAAACTATCGAATAACCTACTTACGTGGCACTTGTTTTTCATTTTTAATCCTTTGCTATAAAATTTGAATATTTTATAAATTTTTAACTACAATACCATTTTTAAATATTAAATTTGTTAAAATTTTGTCAAAAATCAAACTTTAAATGTTTATAAAAAAAATTGTGCCTATATATTTTTAATATTTTTCAACTACTATTGTAACAATATATTAATAGTCTTGTATTAATTGTTCACGCTTTTTGACGAACAAGTCAAAATATTTTGAAAATTTTATCGTGGTTGGAAAATTGTAGTATAAATGTTCAGTGAAAATGTCATAACACCAAACATCGAAAACCGATTTTCCCGTTTTTCCTTGATTTTTATTTTGTTTTTCCTCGCGCTTTTGAAAACTATTGGAAATTTTAAATTTAGTTTAGGTACCTACCTCCCGAATGTACCAACTAGATTCACTTTCCCATCGAAGATCGAACAAGATACTGTTGAAGAAAATCGAAGCAGTACTTCAACGTTGTACAGCCCCAAACAGCTGTGATGACAGACAAAAAAAACAAACACATCGTTGTAAAATCAATGTATTCATCACTCTGTTCGAAATCTAAAATACAAACTAATTAAGACATCTGAAATATGTAATTACTAGCTGCAGGTAGGTACCAATTATTTATATTATAGTTATAAATAAATAATAATGTACCTTCATTCTTTGTACAAAATATTTTTCTATTTTTTTTTTGTAATTGTAATTTTTTTTTCAAGTTTAATACTTAAAAGTAGAGTCTTTTATTTTTCCAATTCAAGCACTGCACATAGCACATAAGATAGGTATTTCTTAATTCTCTTTAAGTTAAAGATAGGCTTTTAGTAGTTGGTTCAACACTGTTAGTCAGTAGAGTGTAAAAGAATATTACAACAGCATATTATATATATTTGGCTTGAATTTCTTATCACTTATTTCAAGTAGCCTGAATTGAAAAAAATATTATCTGTAATTACTTCAGATCATTTACTTTATCATAAGTATGAAAAAGTAAATAATATGTTTTCATTGTATTGAATCAATACCATTGAAGCTAAAAAAATAAAGTCAAGATAGGAATTTAGCCTCTCCATTATTCGCTTCCTTGTACCCAGGCTAGATGAAATACTCCTGACAACATTACAGAGTTTTTTATTTACACATGTCAGTCATTTTAATTTTGACAGAGTTTGGAAATTCCATCACAGTCCTTTCAATTTATTTTCAGTTTAAACTAACGACTGTATTTCATTAAAAAAATAATATATATTTTGTATTCTGTCCAGGGTGAGAACGTGCCAATTCTGCGCATCCCCCTCGTATCTTTGCTATCGAAATTGGTTCCCTTATGGCATGGTGTTGTGTGGGGAACCAGTTTTGGTCGATGTATGGTTCTCTTGCTGGACAGACCATAGTAATATTTTCTTGTATTGCTTATTTAAAACATATTTATTTAGATATTGCTAAGCAAATATTATAAAATGAATTACCAAAAGATCAGCTGTGTGCACATTGCACAGGTATACACAGGCCAGAAAAACACCGAGTTCTAAATAAATATTTGAGTTTATATAATTATATACAATAAATTAACCAACCGTAAGAATTTTAAGCTTTTAGCTTTTTGTGTATGGTATCAATTATTATATGATCATTGATAATACATCAAAATTGATTAAAAATTGTAACTCTTGTTTATTTACCAATTGTAGTTCTTGTAAAAAGTAGTTTGAATGACAAGATTTTACGTCATAAATTTAAAATAATATTTACCATAATATGTCAATAATGAAGGATGGAAATGTATTTAAATAACACGTATAGTATAAAGAAAGTCTATTTAGACATAAACATCAATTTTCAAAACATAAAAAATATTCAGGAATACACCTAATTATCCATACAATTTAGGAATTAATTATCCTTACTATCTTAATTTTATAAGTATATATACACACATATATACTTAGATATAATATAGTATTAACTTTTCTTTAATAAAATATTAAAAAATTGCATTATTATATTCATAAATCCACAAAATAAAACTTTACATAACCAAAATTAAATTGCAACATAGTAATAATAATAATCATATAATATAAATTAAAAAATTACATCCATAAAAATAACTAGTAAATTCTTGTGGTATACAGTTCTACATTAAAAAATTATTCACATTTAATGTGTAGTACATAAATAAATATATTTTAAACAATGTATATATCAGTGGCGTCCGCAGGGGGGGGGGCTAACGGGCTGAAGCCCCCCCATTGCTCGTATTATTATTACTTTAAAAAAAAAAATATTAATCAAGTTTAAACTGTCAACTACAGTAAGCAAGACGTAAATTTAATTTATGTCTTACCAGAATGAATTCAGTTTTGAAAAAACATTGTATTTGCATACCAATTTTCATAAATTATCTGTAATTTTTCGGTAAAAGAATGAACTACCTACTTGTATGAAAGACCTTGTATTAAATTGTCTAGCCTTAACTATACATATTTTATATTTTATAAGTTTTGAACTACAAATTAACTGTGGTTAAATTGTTTTAAACTTTAAATGCATATGTATCGTTAATATTTTAACTAGGTATAATAAAAAAACTTACGTATTACATTTTTAAGCTTTTTGACCGGATAAATAATTTTTTATTGACATTTATAAAAAAAAAAATTTAATTAATCAAATACAATCCAAGTGAGGACGGTATAACCAAACCAAGCTATTGTTAAAAAACAATTTAAATAGGTTTTCATTTTTTTTTTCTTCAATTAGGTACTTTTAAAAGCACTGAGCAGATTCAATTTCGACCTCCTAAAAGTACCAACTAGATCCAATTTGCTTCCAAAAACATACACTGGGCATCGAATGATAAGAGCATTTTTTCTACCAGAAAAGTTGAAAAGTTACAAACATTTTAAAATATCTCAAATAAACGTCTGAAATTATTAGACTAGACAAAATAAAAATAAATTTGTAACTAATTTTCAAGCCCCTCCAATGAAAAATCCTGCGGACGCCACTGGTATATATAATAATATATCTGTATGTAATATACAGGGTTATCCATTTAAGTGGGTACACTAATTATCTCGAAGAGTATTAACTTTTTTTGAATTTTTTTTTTTTTAAACTTCCAGGTTTATGTTTTTCTAAAACCGTATAATATTTTAATTTTTTTCACCCTTATATTTATTAGTGAAACCACTAACAACTTTTGATTTTCAAATGGTAACATATAATAAAAATATCATGAATTAATAATACCATTTTTATTTTTCGATGATTCGTTTGCCAGATACAGCTCCTCAAAATATTGGTGGTTTTCAAAATGTTTTCAATAATTGTAAAGACCAGGAGCTAATCATAAATTTGATATCGTTGAAACCAAGGTGACAAAATAAATAACAATTAATTATAGATTACCATTGTACCCTAATCATTTATTAACTTATCGACTAATTGAACATACCGAATTACCAAAGAATGATAAATAAAAACTGGAAATATATTATGACAAATTTATTTTAATCACAATTTCACAGATAATTATTTAAAAATTAAAATGGTATCACCATATAATTACATCTTATTACCACTAATGACTAAGGTATACCTTGATAAATCCGTGACTGGTTATATGATTATAATATTATGCAGAAAGTAAATAATAAATACCACGGACTAAGATAGTTGTACGAAAATTGCTGTTGATGTAAGAAAAAAAATATTATTAGAATATATTAAGTTATCTATGAAAGTTTTTATTGAAATTTTGTTAAAATTAGGATCATTTTAACGACTTTCGTTTATTTTACCTCTAGACGATCCTGGTTCATTTTTGAAGTTAGGACATATTTAAATCCGCATTCTTCCAAAACCAAGTCAAATATTGTGTCATTGTGATGAATAATAAACACGTAAATAAATAATAATTACAATAATATACATTGGAGGGAAAATTCAAAAAGTAGACATTTATGGTTCTCTTTTATAAACATAGATAGAGTGCGAATCGTACTTGCCCCATTTCACTCCGCACAAGCCTACTCCTAACCTTAAGCGGTCCTGTGATTTGGCGTTCGTTTCCAGTCCATACTATCTTAGTCCGTGGCGTTAGCATTACTTCCCCTGCCATTAGCATTACTTTCCAATTACAATAAAAAACAAACTTAATATCGAATAATTCGAATTTCAAAATGTAATAAGCTCAAAACAATTCAACGAATAGCGAGTAATATCATGCAAGTTAAATCAAAAGACAAAATAAAGGATCGAGATATTGTTGGCTTATTCGAAACCAAAGTTTAGTTTTTTAAATGTCAAGTTTTGAAAATAATTGTTTAGGTACATTCTACTTAACCTACCAGGGTGAACGACCAGTGATTGAACAGTTAAGGATTTGTTTGCAATCAAAATGTATTCATAAATTGGTTTTCAGTATCACATTTACACATTTTAGATTTTAAGATTGGTTTAAATGTTCATTATTGAACTAACATTGATAAAACCTTATAAAACTAATTTAGTAGGTACCTATTTAACATATTAGTTTTTTTGAAAAAATAAGTGAAATCCTAGTGATTGAACACACTCGGCTAGTCTATGAACACTTCAAACCCAGTGTATGAACACCTACAAATATTTGATAAAACAATTTGTATTTAATATAATTCATGAATAAAATGTAGTTCCTTTATTAAAAAATAACACATAACTTAAATATATATTAATATATTATATATATATACCTGATTACAAACTTAGTAACAGGATTAGAATAAAAATTTTAAACAAACATAATTTATGACTTAAGTAAATATATAAGTGAAAACCAACTTGGTAACTATTAAAATAAATAACTTTGTAGGAAAGTAACAATGTTATAACTATATAATATAACAGTAGTTGTATAGGTATAAAGCGTTTAAAATTTAACAATATTGTAACTTGAAAGTAAAATAAAAAAACTTAACGGCAAAAATCACAAATGTAAGCAATCGTGTTTTCAGAATCAGCACAGAGTTCATGTGCCCATTCAGCACATCCACAACATTTGATCCATGGTTCACCACTTTTTGACAAAGTGTATGGTTCTTTACAATATAAACATGTGGTATCATCTTCAGACTCCATACTTATACTCAATACTGGTTTAAATGTTTTTGTAATTTTTGATTTTCTTGGTTCCTGTTTTTGCTTTTTTGGGAGTTTTTTGGCCACTTTTAGACATTTTTCTTTTTTTATTTCCTCTCTACGTTTTCGGTTTTTGCGTAAGTTCTTCTTCTTTTTTAAGTTTTTCCTGTTCTTTATTTGCATGATATTCCCTTCACTTAATTGCTGTAACAGCAAACGGTAATTTTACTTGACTTTTATTTAGTTTCTTTTTTGTGTCAGGTTTTGGCCAAAACAAATGTTTGCTCCATGACTCTTCGATTGTTGTAGGACTCAAATTAGATTTGTTTTCACTTAATGCTATTTTGCTGGTTTCACTTATACACTTATCAACTGTATCAATTTCCATAACTTCCTTACTTATTATACTATCAATCTCTTGAACATTACAATTTATTTTATTTTTATTTTCAGTCTTATTAACAGTTTCTAATATTATACTACTAGTCTTATATACAGTTTTATTAGTTACATTGTCATCTACTGTACATTCAGTCTCATTAACAGTTTCAAAGATAATATCAGTCTCATTCACAGTTTTATACATATTTCCAATCTCATTAACAGTTTCCAATATTATACAACCAGTCTTATTAGTTACATTGTCATCTACGGTACATTCAGTCTCACTAACAGTTTCAAACATAATATCAGTCTCATTAACAGTTTCAAATATGGTATTAGCAGTCTCATTTTCTTTAAAAATGTTATCTAAATTAATTTCCACCTATTCAGTTGTTAAGCTTTTATTATTTTCATTACATGTACTTCCAGCACTAGGTTGTTCAGATTCTAAAACAAAAATTTATAAATTAATTATTAATCTTTAGAATATTAAAAAAAAGTTATTTTATTGAAATATAGTTACCTAAGATAATGTTATGATTCTCCAAAAAATCAAAATCACATTCATACAACTGATTATCACTATTATCATATGCAATTTCTACAGGCATGTCTTCAATATTAAGATTTTCAGTATTTTTTTTAGTTTTAACCCAAAAATCAAACAAGGAAGGCGATTTTTCAACTTCAAGAAGAGGGTCTTGCAATTTTTTTTCAAATACTTCAGTATTTGTTCTCCCATTGTAGTTTTCTAACACCTTTAATGCAGCTTTATATTCATCTGATGTAGCTTGAATAGTAACTTGTAAGCTCGGGTAAGTTATATTTAATTGAAGCTTTATTTAATGATAATGATTTGGAAGTTACACCTTCCAAAGCCAATCGCATTTGTTCTTCAGAGTATTTAAATTTTTTGGCCATTCTTAAAGAAAAAACCATTAATATAGGTAATAGGTATATTTTATTATCTCTGGTAATATTTTAATAAACTGTATTTACAATATTTTTTGTAAGTCCACACTTAAATATTGTCAGTATTTAAAGAACATATTAATATATATAATTATTAGGTAGGTATCTAGGTAACTAACACAACAAAAGATTTGTATTATATTAATTTTAACATTAATATACCTGTTCAATCACTAGATTAAATTATATTTAAGCAATACCAGTAATTGAACATGTGTTCAATTACTAGGATTTGTTAAATTTTAGTAACTAGGTAGTAATTGAACACCTACATAAGTAGTTAAGATAAACATTTTTTTCAAATTTTTAAGCAAGAAAATGATACAAAATTAGGTATTTAACATAAAAAACAAATAGTTGCTGTATATAATGAAATATTTCATAAGTTATTCAGTTCCCACAAAAGGTAATTCATAGTACTTACTTAAACAAATTTGGTCGGAAACAAAACTTGGACCATTAATTGACTATCGTGGGTGATAAAAAGTTTAAGGTATCGCCGGAAGAATTTTTAATGTCCATTTCAAAATTCCTATATCCGTTGTTGTACAACGAGAGCGAAGAATGTCGAGAAGTGTCTACGCGTGTCGCGTATCAAGTTTTTTGTTTTATTGGATAATCCGCGGCAACATAGGCCATTGGGTGTGTGGAGGGCACTGTAGGTGGTTTTTAGATTGGGTAGGTTGGTAATCAAGTGAGTTTGTGGTGGCAGAATTTTTATTGGGGCACCCGTAGGTTTCTGCCATGCCCCAGGGTGGGGGATGGCGGCATTTGTACTCCGGACATCGTGACTTGCCCGGAGAAAAATGCCGCCCAGTGGTCGAGAGTCGAACCCGCGACTGCCAGCGCCGCAGTCGACGCGTTAGACCGCTCGGCCACCTCCGTCCCCCCAATGAAATTATTGTATATACCACAGATATAAAATACCTTTTATATCTGTGGTATATACAGTCTGTTGTTGAGAGATATCATCAAAAATTACGAGCAGTTGATTTTACCATGTTTGAACAAAATTCGTTCAATTTTGAAAAAAAGCATATTAGACAAGTGTCCTGCAGTAATAAAAGACAGTTGTCTGTGTGCAGCAGAACTAGCAATTGCAACTAAACTCTATTTTCATTCGGTAGCTGATTTGCTTGTTGAACCCCTTTTAAGAGCAACAAATCATGATCAATGTATTGTTAGTTATACAGCAATCATTTCACTAGGTAAATTGATCACGTTTTAAATTTAGTTTGTATAAATATGCTTACATACTACATGCTACATAATAAATTGTATGGATGTATGTTTTAGACAGTCCTGTAAAGAATACTTTTGAAAAGTACTTGAGTAAGTACTCAAATACATTTTTTTTTAAGTATTTAAGATACTACTCAAATACTTTAATTGTATAGTATTTCAAATCCTACTCAAATACTTTGAAAAAGTATTTGGAATACTTTTCAAATACTTTTGGTTTTTAAAGTGGGTTTCTAATTATTGTAATATAGACACATAGGTAGTAAAATTATAATCATTTTTATTTATTATTTATTAAATAAATATTTATTACATTTTTTTTTATTATTTTTACATGAAATTTACAATCTGTTCTTAACTAGAACAATAAGCAAATGTGCATAGGGTATTTGCGTATGATTTTTTTTTGAGGGAAGAAACCACCCATTGGTGATACTACCTATTTTGTGTTCTTAATTCATTCTAAAATTTCTAAAATTATTTCGAATAAAAATAAAATGTTTGAAATAAAAAACCAAAGTATTCAATACCAAAAAGTATTTAATACAAAAAAAAGTATTTAAAATACCATTCAAAATACTTCATGCTGAAAGTATTTAAAAAGTTATTCAATACTTAAAAAAGTATTTGAATACTTTTACTCAAATACTTTACAGCCATTACAGGACTGGTTTTAGATGATGTCATTATGTACAGTAATGGAGAACAAGTTCCAGAGTGTATTTTACATATAAAACTGTAGATATACTTAAATCAATTAATGAAAAGTTTTAATAAATAACCTAATAATATCAATATTTTATAATATTTCAGTTAAAAGACCAAATTTGGGTTGCCGTTCGTTAGTTGCTGGAGAAGTGTTGAACTTACTCCCAGTTATAATACGGGAACTAGATGATGAGGTAAATACTATCTGTTTACTAATATCATAATTATTATTATTTATTTATTCAATCCTATGTGGTGTTCAATCATATAGTTAAATTATATAGTAAAGAATTATAATTACATAGATAACTTATTTTACAAAAACTATAGAAAGAAGATATTAGTATTAAAGCGGGTCAATTGTTATGTGTGGTTGCATTGAATGCTGAGAATTCTATTATTCAACATTTAAATCAATTACTGACTGCCATGAATAATGTTGTCGTCAACCAAATCATGTTGCAGCAAATCATGTGAGAACTATATAATAATATATAAATTAATTAATATTATTGAAAATTAATATTTAGGTTCGAAGAGGTCCTGAAATCATGAGTTATTTCATATCACCAAGTATTTATCTGAAATTTTTAATTCCTACAATGAGTAATACTGAACCACATGTAGGTCATAGAATAATTTTATCTGGACTATTAAAAAATGTCAGGTCAATTGAATCTACACATTTGATATCTATTATTACTCTTTTGGTAAAACCAAAAATTGTTGAAGTACACAATGATTTATTCGAAAAATATTTAAAACAAGTAATCCAAGTAATTGGAGATTTTATTGAGGCTTGTCGAGAACAAGAATATCGAGCATCGTTTATAAAGTAACTTAAAATGTACTTTACAAAATCCCTAAATGAACTGAATGATAGTTGGGATTCATGGGTAGTGCGTTCACCAGAAATAGAAGTTGCAGTACATGCTGGTAATTAATATATATGTTCCGGCGAGGAAATAAATAACAGTGGACTGTATAATTTTGTAATTGGTTTTATTTGCTAAGTAAATAAATTATTATAATTTATAGGTTGCTTGAAGTCTCTGTGCAAGTCTGCCTGGGTAGGTCTTGCTTCAGAGGCTCCGCTGAACACACTGCGCGTTTCGTGCTCCGCACTGGCATTTATACCCTGGTCTCGCTCGCAGGAGCCGCCCATGAAATGTTTGTGGTTGGTGATTGGGCGGGGTTGAATGGCGGCGATAACGCTGGTTGGCCGCTGCTGCTCTCGAAGCCACGCCCACAGCGTTCTGTCGTCGTGGGCTTATTTAATAATTCTTTGACGAATACGCGGGTCATCAATAAGATTCGTTTGAGCAATTATGTAACTGTACATTATTGCAACCGGTGTCCCTTGTGACCGAACCGATCTGACCCGCGCCGTACATAATATATAGATCCGGCCGATACAGTCGTACGTCTCCCGACGTCAAATGTGCTTGGTGCAACATTTTATTCGTGACGAACGACTCACGATAGTGTCGACCGACTGTATTCCGGATCTCATCATATTATGCACACAACTAGTTGGCTGACTGCCCAGTGTGATGTCAGTTTTACATACATATAATACCATTAAGAAATATAATAAGAAATATTATAGAATAGATACTTCGCGTGGCGCGAACAATATACATGTTATTACTTATTATGCTACAATTTTAAATTACGTGTTATTTATTTTTAGAAAATTTAATCTTAATGTGCTATGAAGTGTATCAAAAGACTCTTACAAATACGTTATACGATCTTGATATAAGGATCCAAAATTTCTTATGAAAATAGTGATCAGTATAAATACATGCGTGGATAAAGATATTTTCAATGAAAAACAACTTTGGAAAATACTTTCTGGTAAAATTTCATTAATAAAAGTAGGAAATAGTACTTATGTATATAAAATATATTTTTTATTTGATAATGTTCTAGGTATTATATTTCCTATTCTAACATTTAGACCTAAAAAAAAAATTGCGAGAAGTTTAAGAACGGATTCATGCCTGTGCGCACAAATTATAACTAAAAAGTTAACTTGTTTTGATGAAACAATGTTAAATCTAGTAAGTATATATTTTTACCAATACTTATACTTATACCTATACTTTCTATTTCAATTGTTTCAAGAGTTTTCCAATATTTTTGGCCCTTGCTGATGATAACCTCTGTTCGATTCGTGCATATGCATTAGATACTTTACATTATTTAGTTTGTGCTGCCAAAAATATAGATAAAATAAATGCAGCCACAATAAAAAATATCACTAGAGGTATAGTAAAAGATTAAAATGCATGTGAATTAAAAACACTAATATTTAATGTAAAAATTTAGTTGCACTAGCTCATTTGAATGGTAATCCAGGAAATACACGCGATTCAATGCTATTAATCTGATCAAAGCAACATCTAGACACGCGGTAGCGTGTCAAGCCAAGTTCTAGCTAACAGAACTGGCGAGCAGCACCGTGTGTAATATTACACGAACCATTTGGAGCCACTTTTGACCCCCTCATAACTCAAAAACTATTCCACATAAACATGTCAAATTTGGCTCATATATTGAGACTAACGAGATACATATTATGTGCTCTAAATTTCATAAACACACTTCAAACCGTTATTTAGATATTAACGTCCGAAAATCGTCATTTTTATCACTGACTTACCTATAGATCAAAATTCTAACCCAGTTCCAGATGACCTAGAAAGTTAAAATTTGGCATACAGATAGGTAGTTAGGTAAATACAAAGGAAAAAATGCGAAACTTGAAAATTTTTAATTTAAAATTTTTTAATTTTTAATTTTTAATTTTTTAATCAATTGATTTTATTATAATTTTGCAATTATTTTATCTATTATGTTTAATTTTTCAATTTATAGGTTAGGTTAGGTATAATAATTGCCTCTAATTTAATGTACTGTAATGTAATGTTGACTTAAATAACCTTTCCCGTATCGCCGCTCCAAAAATACGACTAGCCGATATTGTCGACCCGCGCGCAGCAACATACTTTTTTTCCTATCTATGTATGTAATTAATATTATTTTTTTAAATATTACAATTAAAATAATTAAATAATTATTCTTACAAATTATGAATTATCCACCCAACAGTAGAAACTACAGTCAATAAAATTATGATAATTAAAAATATACTCAAAAAGAGTTAAAATAATTGTATATTAATTTTACATATATTTTATACTCTGTATATACAACGGAAAATATTTTATAATAAATATTATTATTAATATTAGTAACTGAATTATATTATATAGTAATAAACTTTATTTATAGAATACGTCATGGCTAGGTTAGGTTAGTTATAATAATTTACATACAAAAAGTAATGATATCCCACCAAAAACATACCTATATGTAAAATGAGAGCCAAGTTCAATACTATAATATATGCTTTGGTTGTTGACTTCAACGACAAAATAAGTGAGATCTAAATGGGTGCCAAGTTAGGATAATATATTGAAGCCTAAGGTCTGACTTGGCTACGAATTATATATTATAGCATTTGCAAGTTCTAAAGCTTTGAGTTCTTATTTTATTCTTCGGAAAATCATCTTCACTCTTCCATTACTGTTTTAGTAGGTACTTATAATAATAATTCGTATATGAAAAGTAGCCAAGTCACACCTTAGGCTTCAATATATTATCCTAACTTGGCACCCATTTAGATCTCACTTATTTTGTCGTTGAAGTCAACAACCAAAACATATATTATAGTATTGAACTTGGCTCTCATTTTACATATATGTTTTTGGTGGGATACAACCAACCTCTTCCTAAATATTATTTGGCACGTTATGAAGATCGCGTCGCTCACTTATATAAAACTTTGATAAAATTTTTAGACGATCAAGATATACAGCAATCCATACTTGGTAATAATTATTGATATATTTTAATAATAATAATAAATTAGAGAATGGATTTTATTGTAATAATAAAATCAAAATATAAATATTTACTTAAATATCATGTACTTATTCTCATTGAAATATATGATAGCAGCAAATAGGTTTATGAAAGCTATTAAGATAATATTTTTCATCATAGATCGGTATTTTATATTATTAAATTACCCTCCTCAGAAAATCACTCAAATTTTGAAAATATCTACAAAAATTATTAAAAAATAGAATTTTATATTTTTTTGAGCTCAATCTTATGAGCAGGGCTTTAAACCGTTATCAATCAAGTCGGTAATCGGAAAATTTTTGAAAACCGGTAACCGGTTATCGTTTAATTTTGATATTTTGGTAACCGGTAACCGTTTCTTTAAAGATATTTCAAACACTATGATAACCGTTAATCGTTTAAAAACCGTTGATTATATTTTTTGGTAATCGGTTACCGGTTAAAACCGGTTCTTAAAAATCATTTTTTTTTCAATTTTTTAATCATATTTTTGAAACAGTTTATTTAGGTTATTCGTGGGTTGATAACATAACTATTATTATTACAAAATCAAAAACTTAATATGCTTTAATTTGGTCGATTTCCTTCAATTATTTAAATATTTATTTTTTCAAACTGCTTTAAAGTTTAAAACATATGATCAAGATAATGGCGATCTTAATAAATCAAAAAAATAAACTGCATATAAAAATGTTATTGTTATAATTTTCTTCTTTATAACCGTAAAAAACCGAAATAATATATAATAATTTTGTACTCATTTTTTTGAAGGGCAAAAATGTGTTTCTCCAAGTTTGACGAATGCTTACCAGATATATACTTGGTACATCCCACTACATTACATTTACTACTGTTTTTATTTATATCATACGTAAAATACATTTCAAGAACAGGGTTCTTCATTTTTAATTTCCGTGTATAATATATGTAGTTAATCTTCAAATTATTTAAATCTTAACCCCTTTAAACACTTTAAACAACAGCTTTAAAATAATATCATTGACCAATGTATAAAATATAAAGTGTGATAGACAATATTAAAATGTCGTAAATACTAAATGGACTAAGCCCCTATTCCACCAACTATTTCGTAATAGGAATCAGCGCGCGAGGACGACGACGATGTTTATGACGGTATTTATAATATTAGTTATACAATTATACCCATATATATATATATATATACATATATTGGTTATTGATATTCACAACAAATAAGCAATACTCGACGACAATTAATTGGGGAAAAAAATTTAAAAATAGCTGGAAAATTAAATTCAACTATAATGTAATCATTACATAATTCAAGTATTAAATTCCACGAAAAAACCGTTAATTTTTTGGTCGGGAATAGATTTTGGTTATAATACCGGGATTGAAAAAACGAGGTAACCGCTTTGATGTTAATATTTAGATATTTACCTTGATAACCGATAAACAATAACCGCTTCCAGCATTCCAAAACTAAGAACGGTTATCGGTTTTTGGTTCTCAAATTTACGGTTTTTTACCGGTTTTCGTTACAAACCGGTTACCGGTTTTAAGCCCTGCTTATGAGTGATCATAATAGGTCTGTCACATGTTTAAATCCATTTAATACCATTTGAAATATTACTGCATGAACAGTAATGCCCGATTTTGTGGGTTTGTAAATTACTGCTATAGCAGTAGTGACCCATTACATTAGAATTGAAAAAAATTGAAATTACTGCTACAACAGTAACTGACCATGAACGTGTTAAGTTAAATAATAATATAATTTTGATAAATACACGAAAAAATTTAATATTTACAAATTATGTGTTCACACCCAAATATGTAAAATTAAATTAGCACCAATTTACTACGAAATTGAAGAACCTTATTAATATGTAACAAAATATAAAATATTACAACTAAGGTAAAAAGATTATATAAATATTAAATATAATAAAATTCTGTTCTGTACTAAAAATAGGGTAAATATGATTCCTAACTTATTGACTCATGGTCGTTATTTAAATTTTAAATGATAAATATACAAAATATTAAATTTTAATACATTAAATATTGATTATCATGTTGAGTTAAAAAAATAAATATATGACAGTAATTTATTATTGTAATTAAAAAATGTGTATAACATTTTTATATTCATTTTAATTACAAAAAAAGCAGTATAAATTCATAAAAATGCTGGTATTTATTTATTTATCTTATATTTTGTTTTTTCCCTTTAGATTTGTTAATTGATCTTTCCTGGATGAAACATGGTCTTCTTTTCGAACTCTTAGATGTAAATGTGCCTTCACAAGAACTCCTTCTTAAACATTTAATCGATATGAATCCATTGTTGGACGATCTAAGTCAAATGACACTTCATACCAATAACACAGAATAGTATTGACAATTACTGTCTATTTTTATGCACTTTAAATTTTAATTACTGTTGTTATCTAATATACATGTTTTTTTTATTACTATTATTTTAAGTTATACTTTTCTTTTTTTTTTTTTTTTTTTATTAAAAATATATTACAATCTGTTTACACATAAAACAATAAGTAACAATGATGATAGTGATTAAAGAAGACATGAAACACATGAAGAGGAGACTGTCCAGTGACAGAACCTCAGGAAATTTGAGTTCGGGCATTAAAATTTATTTTATTATTTTATTTTTAATTTTAGATTTAGATTAGAAGGTCTCTAGCCCAATTTCTTTTTAACCGTCGAGGAATATTAAGAGGTAGTGTGAGAGAAGACATGTTTTTGATAAAGGGGTTAGAATGGTTAATTAATTTGGAATGAAATTTTTTATATTAGTTTTTTAGTATTCTATGGTATAGTGTATGAACGATTACAAACGACCATTACACTCAACCTGTTATATTTTCCATTATTTCTAGATACGATTTTATCAATTGAAATATCAGACATCTTATCGTAATATACTACGATTAACTCATTTTTCAAGTTAAACACGAACGAGTGAACACCGCGATAAGTGCATACTTTTTTTATGTGACATAGTAGTGTGTGTTTCGTGGCCTCGTTGGTCATATTTTACGTGTATATTACCAATAATGCCAAAAATACGATCGCCTAAAACTTGCAAAGCAATAAAATATGTTTCTGAATATCCAAATGAACATTTACAAAGTGACGGTCACATATAGTAATAGTATTGTACTGCTTGTGAAAAATCCATAGCAATTGATCATTTTTTTTTGATAACACATAATATTTTGAATTCTTTAGCACATATTTTTCTTGTGTAAATACTAAATACATACTTTGGTAATATAAATACATATAAATCTGAGCCTTATATACAAGTATTTGCTTTAGGGATTTTTATCCTGTGGTTTTTTTTTCGTGGATTTAATACTAATGTTTTTTTTATAAATTGTTTCATTAAAAAAAATGTCAATTGTAAGTCATGTCAATTTATTATTATGCAATTTAAAACATGATACTTGAAACTTTAAAATTATGTATCAGTATCACGATACAAGATACAATAATATTGTATCTTCGATACTGCTAAACCCTGATTGTATCTAATTATCTAAATAGAAGTGAGTGTGTTTAAGACTTAAACTTTGTACTGTACCAAGTTTATTATGCCATTACCTTTTATGTATTCATTATCTTCGTTAATATTAGTTATTTCTGTACTTTATTTTGATCTGTTAGACTGCAAGTTGTATCATTCACCAAAATAAACAAATCGAAGTTGAAAAAATTAAGAGATGATAAAATAAATATCCATCATTATAATAATATGGTCATCAGATAATCTGATAACTGATCATGTACATTTTATTTTATTTTGGTTTTTATAAATATTACGTTCACAAATATTAAGTAAATTATACCTTTGTACCCCTTTAATGTTCATATTTTGGATTTTCTAAGTTCTAGACTTTCCATTAGGTACCTAATTGTTAATATTACATAGAGCCTGCAAATATCTGTAACAAACATTATGATACGGACACCTATTTTACAAAAATGTAAATTGTCTGGCGGTTGCCGGTTACTCAATAAATAAATAAAAATGTTTTTATGTATTTATAGCTTTTCGTTATGACTCTTGAGAACATTAATTTAAAACTAAACATGATTGTATAATCTTTTATCTGTGTGATTGTATAAGTGTATATTATTTTGAATGAGAAATTTATTTTTCCAATGTAAGTTGTAACAACGGTACAACATCCATCACACTATTTTTAAAGTATAAAAATCACAGAATTCCTAAAAGACGGTTAAAAGTATGGTGGCCTAGGGAATTACTTCAGTCTTGAAGCAAGAGTAGCACTTGCTTAATTAACATTTTAGGTAGCACTTCAGGATGAACAGTCCTTTTTCAATTTGCTAATGAAAATTCTTTGTCACCAAAATTACTTATTGTATAAAAAATTACACAGATTGTAATTATCAATAAATAAAAACACTTTTTTATTTTAATATTAACATGAATAATTTTATAAAACTTTACTCTTAGAGAGTTGTTGTAATTGTCCATAAACTTTAGAAGGTGGAGATCCAAGAATAAGATTACAAATAGCTCTCATAGATACTTGTATATTTTGATAAGATCCCAATATATGTATTTTTGTGTCTGCTAACACTATTCTGGTTTTAGTAACGTTTTCGATGGTAAACTTTGTTCGTCCTCCTTTTCCGGCCAGTCGTCCAATTGCACGGGACAAATGGTCTCCTTTTAATGTTTTTACGTCTTTCACCTAAATCAAAATACAACCAATATTAATATTTTGAATTTTCAAAAAAACTACATACATTTAAACTATTATTTTTATAATTATTTGACATCTTCAGCCATTACAAAATATAGAAGTACTTATATGAATATCAAGTTTATATTTAGTGGTTGGGATGTTACTATTTTTTTGTAACAACTACTATTTCCCCAAAAAAAAATTGTTCGCTATCACCACTGTACATTTTTTTTTTTTATTTAGAGCTTTACTTTTAATGCAATTGTTTAAATATGGCGTGCTAATTTTTTTTAAATGTTCTTCAATAATTCACTTTTTTAGTCTTTATTCATAATTTGTTTATGATCTTCATTATTTTTTTGTATTTTCAGTTTGTATATTTTTTATGAATCTAAATAATATCTTACTAAAAATTGCCAGTTGTAACTAGACGTGATGTGAATAGCAAGAGAGTTACAAAAAACTGGGAGTTGTTACACATTTTTAAAAAAGTTGATGACTGTCATTTGATAGGTAGGAAATAAATAAAAAAAATTTCCTTTTTAAGTATACTACAGGTGATACACTATGTGTATACACAAAGTATATATACTTAAGTGTGAAATTACACTTAAGCGTGATGTGGTGCATCTTTGTTGTATTATAAAGATCTAAAAACATTGTATTGCATTCAAATCATAAGTGATGTATCTTAACTTGCAAATACACACAAAAATCATGAAACAAAATATTAAAGGTTTGATAACCTTTTCTATAACAATAGGTGATTTGGATAATCGAGCGTGAAAATAAGTCCAATACTGAAATAGATCTAATAATGATCAGCCTAGTGCCTACTTAAACTGTCAATCTCTATTGAGAATAACAAAAACTATACTCTGTCTTACGAAAGATACCACACCTTGATGAAAAACAGTCAATCTTGCGCATATCCATGCCCCACGCCAGTAACAACGACACAGGTCGTCGGCAACGGTCGCAGGCGATTTAGTGTACATGCGCAAAACGGTACCTATCTTTTTTTCATGAGACAGAGTACAAGCATGAAATTCATTTTTAATTTGCTGTTTTAATTACTCAGCCTGAAATAAGACCGGCATGATACAATATTTTATCTACCTACGATCTAAAATAGGTGGTACTTGTAGAGTTGGTTGGTAGAAAATGTTAACGGGAGCATCATAATCACCACAATTGGACTATAACTAATGATATGGTAGTGTAATATAATGTATTATAAGTGAATAGACACGACTGGTACGTACTTCAAAAGATTCGACAAACAGATTGTCCAGTCTTATTAATGCTAACGCGTCTTCCACTTCGAACCCGTAGACAAACGCTTTGACAAAGTCTGCGGCCTTCTGCAAGTGTTGCGAGCCGATCTCGTCGTCGGGAACGGGATTTCTTATTTCCACGTTTCTTGATTTGACGTTGAATCTAATATCCAGACGGAGGTGTTCGACGACCGGCGTGTAGACCTTTAACCAGTGTTCCTTGAGCGGCGTGAGCCTATGTGACGGCACGGGCACCTTGCGCACTTCCCGGTTGTCTGACGCCGACTTGGTGGACTGGATTTTCCTCAGTGGCCTATTGTGAGCCATCTTTGCACTGTAAATTGGTTAAAAATTTAAACGGAATTCCCGGAAAGGCATAAATGTAAAAAAAATATTATCTAGTAGACAATACCGAGATACACACGTGCAGGCATGCAGCTAAGATAAACGATAATTAAACAGCAATATTATTGAGTGTCTGAGTGATAACACTGATAGTGATTCAAATTGGTGATTGGCTTGAATATATAATATTAAAGAATAAGATCCTAGGAGAAAAAAAATCATATGTTTCGATGTCAGGAACAGATGTTCCATGTAAGTGTTGCCATTCGTACCGTGTTTTGGGATTTTTATCCGACATTACAACGGGTCTACTCGGCCGATCGTAGTAAAAGCCAAAAGGGCGAAGGAACAATATTAATACTTTAACGAAGATATATCCGTGATCCGCTCACCGTCTGTCCGTGGTCCGCCGTCTCAAAGTCTGTAATACGCACAGAAATATAAGCATACGTTATTATATTATAATACAAATATTATTATATCAATTTATATCTGTGGGTATCCGCCATTCGAACCACAGATTTCTGAATAGTCTGTGGATCGAACCCTATACTGCGACGCCGATGACCTCGTTCAGCTGCGCAGCTGGCCAGTCCGTAGCGTTGGCCAACCTTTGTCGCCCCCTATGGTCGCCCCGTACCTTTGTTATCTGCTTCTGGGATATTGATAATCGAATCGTCGTAATTCATAATATAATAATAACATTATATTATTATTATGCTCAGTGTGATATTATTATATACACACATCATAATATCATATTGCATTATACATTATTATTATTATACACGCATTACGCACACGAAGAATAAAAAGGAGGAATCTAAAATTAATTTTTCTGCCTTGTTTTTTCAAACATATTTTCTCTCCATTCGTATTTCGTCGATTGTTTTACTCTTTGACAACGACGACGACGACACAACGACGACGACGACGACGATAAACGTTAACGGAAACTCCTTTTCCGTCCAGACCGTTCGCTGCCCCGTCTTCCCTTTTGTCGCGTTTTCGTTTTCCAAACGTATTGCGTCCGCAGAGAAATGTCGCTGAGATCGAAGACGGTGTGCGAGATATGCGGCGAATCGTTTCTGACAGAAAACAAACTCTCCAACCATATAACGGAACGACACGTCCACTCCTCCACGAGCCCATCGCCAAGCGTCGGTTCGTCGTCCAAACGTCGGAAACTGGACGCCGACTCAGACGTCAGGTGTCCGCTCTGCGATTACGTTGACCTGGACACCGACCGTCTGCAGCAACACGTCAATCGCATGCACTTTGACCCTGGCAGTCCCCGGCGACCGGGAACAGTAGACTTCCCTTGCCCGATATGCCCACTGGCGTTTGACCACTGTGATAATCTCGAAACTCACATAAACGAAGAACACCACGATATCGTTAGCCCTCAAACGGTAATGTAAAGACGTAACAGTGTCGTCCGGCAACGCTGCCGTGCCCCATTCATTTTTGTTACGGTCATTATAATGTCATGTTTTTTTTTTCTATGTCCGCAGGACTCTGATAGTCAGAGGATACCGTTGTTGGAAAATATCAACGAAGGTTGTGTGATTTGCGGAATGAAAAATTTTGATAGCTTAAGAGATTTGGATGCACACATTGAGCAACATTACCGAGGTAATACGGTATTCCTAATACCTATTCTATTTGACGTACTTTGTTCTTTTACTGATTTGAACTGTTTTAATTTGTGTATGCTACTGTGGGTTTGGAAAATTATTTATCAATTTATAAATCCAATACAATTGAAGACAATGCATATTTATTATGATTTGTTCTCTATAAATTAAACCACCTACTATAAAATGCTTAAATGTCATTGCCATTAACAAATAGTGTGATATAGGTCTAAATAACATTAATAAAGCAACCAATACAATTCAAAATTAATTATTTTTGATAGAATACATTTAGGTATATTGGAACAATTTAGAATTAGAATGTTTTAGAACGATTTTCTTAAATTAATCATAACAACACTGAAGTTTGGATTTTTACAAGTTACAATTTTCATTTATTAATCATTAGGGCAATGATTTTTATGTAATAAAAAAGTCAAAATATGTAAGTACCTATTAAAAACCATGAAATATTTAACAAATAGTTTTTATTCAACATTCATTTAACAATTGTAATTATATAAAAAAAAATGAAAGTAATGAATAGAAAAACAAATAAACAAACAACAACTTGTCATTAGATTAATAAGCTGTATACCAAATAATAGATATGGCAATTTTAAAACTGCCTATTTTATTTTATTTATTACAACATTTTCTATTACAATTTATGACGGATTGATTATATTTCCCACAGAATAATGAATATTGTTAGTATGTCTGTGAATAGGTTTAGATATATAAAAATGATAAATATTTAACAAAATAATTTGTTTGTATTGGTAAAATATTTAAGAAAAAAATTAATTTACGAATATGTAATATTGAATAAGTTTTATTGTATTTAAAATGTTGTGAAATGTGCACAATTTCAATTATAATTAGGAAACCCAATTAATAAAACATGTATTTTGTTCAAATGTTAAAATAACTTAAAATAATTAATCTTTAATACTTAGTTGAAAAATTAGAACATAACTCATAACTATTGGTGTAGTATTTCATATTTTTTTATAATTCAACATCACTAAAATTATTGTTTTCAACTTTAGACACTTAGGGCTGTTCTTACAATATCCGGTAAATTGTCGACTAAAGCTAACCGACTGATAACAGATTTTATTACTTGCAGAATTCGGCCTGTTAAATGTCCGTTATCTTTAACCGGACACTGTAAAAACGCCCTTTAACAAGAAAAACAGTGTATTTATTTTTTTAATAACTAAACAAAACTTATTATGAAGAACCTTATATTACATTTTTGTGCTATATAGGTATAATTATATAAAAATAAAAAAAGATTTTAATTTTTAACTATAAATACCTAATTAAATATTATACCAAAAAAAAAAAAAATTGATATATATATGGTCTGTTCAAAATGAGATTGGTACTTGCGACCAAATAGTGCGCATGGGTGTGGCTTTGTTCCGTGGCAGCGCCTGACGCGTCGCCGTAGTGGGTGGGGACGGCATCTAACTGGTCGCCGCTGTGTACCGATCTCATTTTGAATGGACTATATTCAAATAGAGCAAAAATATTTTGATATTTGCACCATGTATAGAAAATGCTAATATACATTTAGTGTTTCAAGAATACAATTATTCCTTTCTGAATTATAATAAAAACAAAATGTTCTTATTTTCCCACTGTTTATTTATTAATTTTCTTTAATATTTCCTGCCCCAAAACGTGAAGGCAGATACAAATTACTTAAACATTGTACAAAACAAATACATTCCTTGCTCTAATTAGTAACTAATTTGAATGTTGAATCTATTGTTAAAAAATGTTTGTTTGGATCCGAACTAACTCCCCGATATCTTGGAAGTAAAATAATGGCAATTCAATATACTCAATAAGTAATAACATCTAAACATCTAAACATCGAAGATAATAATATAGTCAAAAAACCAATAACAAAAAGAGGAATTTTTTAATTTTTGTGTTATGTATTAATATTTGGTAAAATATGTTTACTATATTTTTTTAATTGCTACAAAAAGAGTGAAATTGATTGTATGTATTGGGTTTCATTTTAAAAACCCAGATACCAATATAGGAATTTTTATTACAGGTGTAAAGCCTTGGTTATAACATATTATATATTGACCCATATATTGATTATAAAAATGTTTCAATATAATTTTTTTATCTTCAGGTTCAACACCACCTACTCAAGATCATTTAACCAATCATGATCAGCTTTTGGCCAAACAATTGGAAAAACAAGAACGTGAGCGTATGAAACATAAAGAACAGGAAGATTTTCAAAAGTTACAAGCTGCTTATGGAATGGATAACAAAGGCAATTATAATCAACAAACTATGACTAACCTACAAGAAGCTGTATCCAGTGGTGAACTAACTGTTTATGATTACTATGAAAAAATATATGAAATAAAAATTGCTGAAAGTAAAGGACTTGATACTGGCGAATCATCTACTAGAGGTTAGTTCAATTTTTAAAATTATTATTTATTGAAATCTGTCTATTTATATAGTTAGGAATAACTCAATCAAATTTCAATAACTCTCCAGTAATACTTAGGTGGTTTTTTTATATTGTTCTTCAAACTATGGCATAATCATTTATCTATACCACATACACTCACCAAATTTATAATGATATGTGTATACCTGTGCTTATTAGAATTTTCAGTAACGTAAGTCGTAAAGAAAATATTCTGATTATTTGTATTTTCATTTTCAAAATGTGTTTACCTAATATGGTTTAGGTAATAATAAAACTTTTTTGCATAAGTATGTGTGTGGTAATGAGTATATGGTATAATATGCCTATTCTAAATGTTATATTATGTCCAAACTCTTAAAAAGTGTGTGAATTTCACATTTATTATCATCATATAAAATTATACAATTTATTTTCATTTTTTTTTTTTTTTAAATTTTACTAGAAATATCCATAAACGACCTTACGGTACAAACTACTTGTACTCAGTCCTCGAATCAGGAAAATTAAGTAGGGGAGCTCAACGATTTAAAAACGCGCAATTAGTCAACACAGACCCGTGGGGGGCCTTGCCCCCCCCCGCGATCTTGCCTTACATACATTTTTAATACCACTTTTCGGCAACACATTTTGAATTCCAAATAGGTATAATATATTTTGATAGCAATATCTACATCTTACATTGTTGCAGTAGAAAAAAAAAATAAGAATCTACCTGTTTATTCAATATACTAAATAGATAACAAAATTAATAATTATTGTTTTCGATTCAAAAGGACCACATATTTTGATAAGTATAAAAAAATTTTAAAATTCTAAAACACCGATAAATGATAACCATAATTGAAACTGATAATATTTCATTTGGAACACAATTTAAGATAGTACTAGCCCACACCAATATCTGTGCCTTAGATAATATACTTGTATATGATCTATGATCTGTGAACTACTGACTATATAGGCAAAACACAGGGTGATATTATAATTAATTAATGAACTAATATCACAAATAATTTTGATATGAAAAATAGTAAAACTTGTTGTATAATTGACATCAATTGAAATCCAAATTATAATAAAAATTATTTCGGATTGTAGTTTGCACTGTCTCCCCGTCCAAGTAAAAAAAAAAATAGAAGGGGTAAGCAAAAAAAAAAAAATTAAAATAGTAGGGGAGCTCCGTCCCCCTGTGCACCCCCCAATTCGAGAACTGCTTGTACTTAATTGGCATTATAAGAGCTTAAGTAAATCAATACATTTTTCTAGCAATGCACCACTAGACACACTTAAGTCGCAATGAAAAACCCAATGACCCAAACCTAATCTTATAGGCTATAGCCCTCGCTATAGCCTATAGGTATATAATTTGGTTACAAGTTAACCATCTACATATTATCTTTTGTAATAAAATATATTGTTTTAAATTGAATGTAACTATAGTTAGAAAATAAATGGGTGGCAATTATCTCAGTGAAAATACAACAGTCAGCAATGTAATTTTTAAAATATTTTGGCTTTTTTTTTTACTAGTTTTAGCACATATACTTAAATTTGAAATTTTTGAATGTTTTGTTTTGATTTATGTAGGTACAATAGGTACATACATTTTTGTTTTTGAGTAAAAAAGTTAGAAAATTAATTAAATACAACTGTACAAAGTTCTCAGAAGTAATTATTCCTAAAACATTAAAATTTCAAAAATGCATTTAGACAATTTTTTTTAGACATTTAGTTAAAAGACAAGTTCAAATGTTGTCATTAATTTTGTTGTACCTAATTCAAAAATATTATTTGGTATATACTTTTATGTATATTATTATATTTTACTACAAACTTATTCAAACCGTTCTACCGTTAGGTAAAGGTATTAACAGTAATAAGTAGGGCAGAGAAGTTATAGGAGGTAAAATTGGAAAAATATGCACATAAAAAATTGAAAATATGCATTCAAATTCATTAAATATGCAAGATAATATGCACAAAAAAATTAAATTATAATTGAGTAAAATAAAAAAATTAGATATAAAAGAAATATAAAAATCATTGCATTGCACAATTAATTTTATTTTAAATATTTTCTACGTCGAATGATCGCTGATTGTTTGCATGGTTTTCTTCAATCTCGAATTTTGGATTTATCCTTAAAATAAATATAAAATATATTAATACAAAAATAGTTTTAAAATAACTTTTTTCTTACCTGATAAATTATTGCATTGCACAACTAATGTTTTTTTTAAATATTTTCTACGTCGAATGATCGCCGATTGTCAGCCAGTATGGTTATATTATATATCTGTTGATGTTACTGGTGCATATTTATAAAATGTTAAATCATTTCCCGTTAGGTCTTCTGGTAAACCATCCATCAATGAACTTTCTCCATTTAAAATTTTTAAAATTTTTAATACTTTTGCAAACCCATCATTTTTTTCTAAAACTTGGTTAAATTTTGTTTTTACTTTCATTCCAACGTCACCCGCAACTTTGTCCAATTTATTTTTTGTGAACATTACTGTTGTTACTGAATCAGTTAATGATACTCCTTATGATTCTAATTTAGTTATGGTTGATGGTAAACCCATAATTTGAATTATAAAAGTTAAATTTGGTTCCATTGAAATTTTATTTAGAAGGGCTTGAGATTCTTTTATAGATACAGCATCGTTAGAATCAAAATGTTGCATAACATCTCGTACTTGCTTAAAATATTTGCAGTAATAAGAAGTAGCTTCAATTCAAGAACCCCAACGTGTAAGTACAGGTTCGGGAGGAAGAGGGACTCCGGGAGCTTGTCTTGAAAAGTAAAACACGCGAAGGTGCTTTTAAAAATACTTGCTTTCCTTTTGCTACTAATTTATCAACTCTAGGAAAATGACTCCGAATATTTTCTGCCAATCTATGTAATCCGTGTGCTATACAAGTAATATGGATCATCTTGGAGTACAAAGCCTTGATAGTTGTACCTGCTTTCTTCATGTATGGGGCAGCATCGCTTAATAATAGGAGAACGTCATCATGACGAACACCGTCGGGCCACAAGAGAAACATTGAGCTGTCAAAAAGTTTGGTTATTGTAGAAAAATTGGCTTTTTCTAAAACTTCAGTGTTTAGTAAATATATTTTTCCGGGTCTATCTTTCAGTAGAGTTCCGATTATTACGTTTGCAATATATCTCCCTTGTACATCTGTCGTTTCGTCTATAGAAACCCATATTTTATTTCCTGCAACGTCTTTTCTAATTTGATCAACAGCTTCTAAATAGCAATCGTTTGTATAAGTTTTCCTCAACGTGGATATACTAGGGATGTCATTTAGGTTATATTTTTCAAGGAACGATCGGAATTGAACATTAGAAATTTTATGTAAAGGAATGTTTGCACACATCATAGCCTTACATAAATCATGTGAAAAAACAGATTTTTTGTTTGATGGCTGTGATATAAATTGTTGTTTATTTTCTGCAGGTTTATTTCGAAGAGCTAATAATCGTTTGTGTTTATTTGTTTTTATATGTTGAGTTACTGTAAATTTTTTATCAGCACTTACTTTAACTTCGCAAATCTTACAATAAAGCATAGTACCATCGGTAGCAAATGTATCTTCACCAAACTGTTTCACATACTTGTTAAATATATTTGCATTTATTTTTGGCATTGTGCAAAATGTTAGTAGAAAATATATTAAAAGAAAAATGTAAGCATGGAAAACACAACAAACGGCACGCACTAACAAGATTACTGACGGACAGTGGACTCTGGACACATAATAATGTTAAAATAAAATTTAATATAGATACTTAAATGCCAATCTGTCAAATCTTATCTTCGATAACATTATCCGAATGCCCACCTAAAATATGTGGGTACCTATAATATAGTACATATAGTCTACACGGGCATCGGGTGGTGTGCAATGTATATAATAATACCATAAAGTTTTTATGTAGAATATGCATGAAATATGCACAAAATAACAAAATATGCAATTTTTTTTTTAAATTTTTAAAATATGCAAAAATATGCAAAACAAAAATTTTAGATTTCAACTGTGGGGCCTAATGTAATTCTATAATTTAAAACCATAAAAAAAAATAAAAATAAATAAAAATAAAATATACATAATATAGGCCAGCAGACCAACTGAGAATGAGTTTCTCAATTTTATATCTTCAACAACGTACTAGATTGTTACCGCATTTATTTCAATTAGTTTAATGAATACTGAGAAGATCGCTAAAATATAAAAACAATATAACTGATTAAATAAAAATTATAAGGATTTTTATTGATTATAATATTATAGCTTGCATTTTTTTTTTAACAATATTTGTGGCTTATAAAATGTATACAATATACTATTATTAGGTATAATATTATGATTTTTAATTGCTACAAGGTCATATAATTTAATCACATATGATTACTGTAGACAAAGTGATTTTTAAATAAAGAAAACCATCTGTATTCAGTATTTAACATTAAGGCGACTAGTGCCAATGTAATTTTGAACACAAAAATATGCTCTACGTAAATAATAATCCTGTTCTTTAGAATCAACCAAATTTGATAATTTTTTTTTTTTTAGTTATAGAGGGTAATATTCTACAGGCATCAAAGTCTGTTTTTTCAATATTTTATTCTTAAACTTTATAACATGTTTTAAAAACAACACAATTGTAAATGGTTTTTTTTTGTAAATTAAATTATACCTATATTTAAAATAAAATAAAAAATTGGAGTTTGATGTGGCCTGTAGGAAGTCTTTTTCTCTCAGAAAAAAAAAATAGTTATAAAAATCCGAAAATTCTACAAAGCCTGAAAATTATTCCCGTGAATTAATTTTTTCTCGATATAATATACCCTATCAGCTCCCCTTAAATAGGTACCGGGTAGTAGATTAGTGGAAAAGTATTATAATTAAGGTGGCAACTAAAATATAAAATTTAATTTTGATAAACTGGCACCGGGCCCCTTAAACTGATTAAAGTACTTATTAACTTATTGTTGATAATCTCCTAAATTACTAAAAAGAGTTTTATTGTGATTTACTGATTTGTATTATATCAAGGCTAAAAACAAGGTTAGGTTAGGTTAGTTTTTGAAACTTCAATACTACATAGAAATCACACAGTTACACTATAATTTCAATGACAACTAATTTCTTATCTTTTATCTTATCAACTGTCAACAATATGTTTTTTAGAGTAATAATAATTAATAGTAATTAGACAAATAACTTAGTAACAACAATGCAATTGATATTAAACCATTTAGCAAATGATTCTTATATTTTCATTAGTAATAAGTACCTATTAACATAACAATAAAACACCGTTTATACGACATTCTTTTATTGTTATTTTAAGCAATGTTATAAACTTTTGAACATATTCAGTTTTTAATTTTGTAGTTTTTCTTGGAATTGTTTCGTGAAATGTGAAAATTAAAGAATTTTGAATGTAAAATTTATACAAAATGGCTTCTGAAACGGTATATCTGCCTTGTGAGTTTTGCGACCAAATCATTGATTTCAAAAATGTATACACTCATCAAGCTGGATGTCAAACAAAAAATGATCATTTAACTAAATGTCATGATGAAAACAATGATGTGACACTTCCGTGCGAGTTTTGTGAGAATCTTATAGATTTAAATAATCTGATGTGTCATCAAATTGTATGTCGAAAAAAATTGAAGAAAATAAAAAACAAAGTTTCAAATATTGGTGAAAAAACTGGATCAAGTGTATATTCAAAAAATATGCAACCATCAAGTGTTAATGAAAATGTACCTTATCAAGATGAATTTAATCAAAACCTTCTAAGTGAATCAAAAGAAAAAAATTCTGTCCAAAACAATAGCTATAACTTAGATTTTAACTTACCCAGTACTAGTAAAAACTATGGAGTTCCTACTTTAATATTAAGAAAACCAAAATCAACTGACGATCGCTCGTGTAGTAGTTCATTATCATTAGAACAAAGTATGATTTTACCAGTGGAATGTAATTTTGAGATAAAATCAACGGGTGTTACCAATGTAAAAAATAATATGCGCAATGATAGGTCACCATTTTTAAGTTCGTATGGAAGAGATTTTCAGAATGATTCTACTAGCAAAAATGTATCTTACAGTGAGCATAACTGGCCATGTGTAATACATGGATTATAATATTATATTGACAGATTTTAAATATTACATTTTATACCTTAGTTTGATATTTATGTTATTGTACATTTTATTTTAATTGTTTTAGACCTGATTGAGTATATTCGTCACTTCAGTGCATCATCACCAAACGTCGTAGAATTACATTTGGCTTCTCCGACCGACCATTATAGATCGACTTATGGTGACAAAGGTTGGGGATGTGGATACAGGAATATGCAAATGTTGATGTCCAGTATGCTTTTACAAATGGATTACAATGAACATATATCGAGAGTATGGGAAGTTGAGAAAGGACCTCTGCCACGTGCTTGGATGCCATCCATATCAAGATTACAGCAACATTTAGAGAAATCCTGGAGCATGGGTATTGACGAACCTGGTAGAGAACAACTAGGTGGTACAGTGTATAACACAAAGAAATGGATTGGAGCCACTGAAGTTGTTACTATGCTAACGGCTTTGAAAATTAAGTAAGTTTCATTTTGAACTAGGTGGAAAAAATGTCATTGTGTTAGTTTTATACCGTCAATACAAATGATTGCAGATTTGACTTTGTATTTGATTGCAAATAACATACATACTAACATACTGATTGATAAGTTGTGTTTTAAAATTAATAAAGATATGATTCTTTTAAAGTCCCACACACATTTCTGATCGGTCTTTATGTACAATGAATGGGGGAAAAACATAACATTTTTCATTATATATAATTTTGTCATATAACGTAACTAATAATTCAATATATTTGATTGTTCAGAACATTATTAATAGACTTTCGAAAACCAACTGGTTCGAAAAATACTCATCCAGAAATGTTTCACTGGTTGTATGAACATTTTAGCAATAGAAAAAAACAATTTATTCCTCCAGTTTATATACAACATGAAGGTAATTATACTGGTTTTTTTTCTGCACACTTGGTTAAAGCTAATAAATTACACCAGTAAGTGATAATATTATTTGTTGTTATTTAGGTCATAGTCGAACTGTAGTCGGTGTTGAAAAACTATCTGATGGAACAATTTTGCTTTTAGTATTAGATCCAAGTGGTCATTATGATAAATTAAGAACAGAAGCTGGGATGTCAACTATGTCACATATAAGAAAATCTATGTACACATTCAAGGCAAAAGAGTATCAACTAGTCACAGTCAGTGGCATAATCACAAGTGATTCAGAATTTGAAGTAAGTATAATTTTCTATGTCATTTAACTGTGGGTTTCTCAGATATTTGTCTATTGCAGATTTGTATGTGTCCACTAGCTTTTATACTTGACCTATCTAATGGAAATAATGATAATTCCATTTTTAGTTATAATTATAATAACTTATATATTTATGTAACTGATGTCCGTATGAATAGTCAATGTATGTATCACATAAGACATAGTTTACTCTTGTCTGCATACAATCCATAATTAGGTAGATCAGTGATTATCAAGCTGTGAGTCGCCAGATGATTATTTAGGGTCACCACTCATTTCATAAATTTTGAAAAAACCTATGCATCTACATAGAAATATACTTTTAGGTGCTAAGAAAAATTCATTTTTTATTTGGTTGTCGCTTGAAACACGTTGAAAATCACTGAGGTAGTTACCAGACAAGTAGTATATATATATCCAAATAGATCTCTGGTAATAAATGGTTTACAGCAATATTGTAAATTTATATTTGAGGAGAATTTTTTTTCTGGAAGTTGCAGTCTGTAGGTGTAGACTGGATCAGACAGGTAGATGTAGAGTTAAATATTAAAGTAGGCTACAACTACCTCCGTTCATAGGTTTCCTCACATAATATTTACTTTCTTTTGCCTTAACCTTCGAATAGTTTTGGAATACTTTTAAAATTGGTCAACATGCCAGATTTATTACAAAATATATTAATACCTATAATGTTTTAATTGTTGCAGAGTGGCAAAACAATTAAATCTACCCGTGGTTCATAACCAACTACCAAGAAACTACAATTCATTTTGCAGAGCTTAAAGATTTTGTTAATATTTTAATTTTCCTTTTTATACATTCTAAATTCTGTCAAATAAAATTATAGCCTAAACGCGAAGTATATAGTTTAACACTTTTAGAATGTTCTAGTAACTATATTACAAGTTACTACATTTAATGTTTCATAATATAATCACACTTAATATCCATCATTACAAGTAGTGATTTTAATAAAATATTGTAGTTTATAGAAAATCATTTGTTTTGTAATTTTATTTATTTATTATCTAAACAAGCACTCGTAAATTAAATAGTGTTTGGTTTTTAAATTAATACATTTAATAGACTAGACAAAATTAATGTATCTACAATGTAAATTTGTACAAAAAAAAAAAAAAAAAAACATTTACATCAGACTTTAGGAATGCTTGGCTACTCAAATATTAAAACCCATTTTTCTCATGCATTCCTTATGTGCTTCGATTAGATGCCCACATTTTTCTTCTCCGTTTTCCATAATACTGTAAAAAAGAAATAATTCATTAACAAAGAATGGTTTATTGTTTATGAATCTAGAGCTTTTTTTTCGTAGTTAATTATTAGAGAAAACATCAATAATTTGAGTTTTCCATAAAATATACATAAATATATATATATATATATGTGAGTGTATGTAAATTTAGTTTTAGGAATAACAGATTTAAGATATATTTTTTACTTGTACGATAATAATACTTGAATACTGTCAAAATATAAATATTAGATTTTTGTTGATTTAGTTTCATCTTTTTTTATATACATTACATATTATTATATTATAAATAGTATGAGTTATGATAAATGTTATTATATGGTTAAATATGATGAAGTGTATAAAATATTATATTAGAGTAGAACTTCAACATGAGATTGTACAAAATATAAAGTATCTAAATTACTAATATATTACATTAATTACAAATGATATTAAACTGTATTTATTATACTTAATCAAATTATAAAATGTTGGAGACCTATGTTATAAATATTTTTATAAACATATAAGATAAATTCAAATAATAATTATATAATATTTTTTCAGGAATTTTATTTTAGTTTTTTAGTGAATTATGAACATTTTAAAATATTGATGTTTTACATACTCATAAGTCACTTAGAAACTAAAATATCATAAAAAATTAACGAGAGAACACACAGATAATGTTATTACTTAAAAGTTTGATAGGTCAATTCGGTCTAATATCAAAACTGACAACACCCTAGTCCCTATTGAAACTAGAGAACAAAAACTTGCCATGTCGTATGTGTGTAAGATGGAGACAACATAAGTGTGCGATGTCCTCTTAAATACATTTCTGTCTTATATGGAAACCGTTAAGATGAGGTTATATTGTAATTTATATTTTATTAATTAAAAGTATTTCTTAAGAAACTCGAATAGATCGTCAAAATAAGTGTGCGATGTCCTCTTAAATACATTTCTGTCTTATATGGAAACCGTTATGATGAGGTTATATTGTAATTTATATTTTATTAATTAAAAGTTTTTCTTAAGAAACTTGAATAGATCGTCAAAATACAAGACGATTTGTCCAATGCTTGGAGGTATCAAGATATTAGATTAGTTTTTAAAATTATTTAATACATTCTTAATTCTATTGAAGATTTACCATATTATTATTGTTGGGTAAAAATGTATAAGTCTGTTTTGGTTTTATAGAGCATGTTAATATCGAGGGTCTTCAACCCATGGAGATGAACACATCTAAAGCATAGCATAGATTTTTTAATAATTTAGTACATGTTTTTATGAATGCGTCCCACAAATTTAAAAAAAAAAATTGTAGTTGGCTCCCGCCTATAAAGGTTAAAGATCCCTGCAGGTTAATTAATTGATGATGTTAAAACAGTTTTAGATTCCCGGATGATAGATACTTGTATTTTTACTGGTAAAAAAGCGAGCATCCTTGAATTTCAAACCGTTTGAACACAAGTACATAAAAACATAGGCACTATTAAACAGTAAAATTATGACTTGATCAAGCTTATATAATAGGTATAGTAAATATTATCATTATTTATTAGTTCATTACCATCGTTAATATTATAAACTAATAATATGTGTACACATTTAAATGCTTTTAATTTTAATTCATAATATTATTGCATCAAAACTTGGATACTGGTATTTTTGTGTTTTTTCACAAATTAGGGGGGAACTACCTGTTTGTTGATACATCTAATTGTTATAGGTAATATTTAGTTTTATAATGGGAGTGGAAAACCAATGACCAAAGTGCCAAAAAAAGACGCATATAAAGCTACATTTTAATAGCACTCAAAATTCTGTTTATTTCATTGTTCAATCTTACATTTATTGAAATAAAAACTAGTGAATGAAGTTCTTAATTATTTCTTATTAAGAAATTTACGGATTATAACATTTTGAAAGTTTGGAACTTTTCCAAACAAAATTTTGCACTTGGAAAGATTGCTCATTCCAGAATCCAAATACACTAAATATTTGAGTCTCGCTACAACATAGGTACAGTTGTGAAAGTATATTTTCCACAATGAACACGATCAAATCGAAACAAAAAGATTTTTGAATGAAATTAAATAATGAAGCATGTGATTCATTAACACATTTATACTTAACACAAAACACTCCTAAACTTTTAATTCTTTCAAACATTGATCTACCCAAGACAATAATGTTTATAGGGCTATGAGCATAATATTTCTGGCACATGAATTTTTATTAAAACTGATTTTGGCATGTGGAGCGAAAAAGGTTTGACACCACTGTTCTTTAAAATAGAATATCAACAGCAAATAATATAAGGAATTACTCAGGGAAAAATTAAAAAGTATTTAATTATTGTTAATTCTAAGTGACTTAAGGGTTCAAATTCGTCGACACAGACTGAAGGTTTGCCTACATACAACATGAATTCAAAAATACCAAGTAGTTGCATATAATTAATAATAAATAATATTACCAAGCATCTCTGACTCTTTTTGTGTCCGGACAAGCACAACAAGCTTTTAATTTTTTTGGTTCTTCGGCGGGCTTATTCTCCAACGACGGTGCAATGGATTTATCGCTGACTAAGGGCATCATTTTTTAACTGGCTAAAAATACTGGGACGGATTCAAAATTTAATAAAATATTGCGTAATGTGACGCAAACTTAAAGTTATAACGTTATGCCGTATGCACACTGCACGGAGGACAATTTATGAGTCGACTCACTGACAACTAGTAAGTAGGAACTACTATGAAAAATAGTCAAGATTTAAGAATGAATTCTTAACTCTGAAGTCGAAAAGTAAATAGTAAATACTGAATATTTTAATCGTTGAAGTCAAAGGATCAGTAAGTTTTTAAGGTTATATTTAAGATATCGGAGATTGATAATATGATAATATTAAATAGATAACACGGAATTCTACACAGGTTACGGTACTTAGTCTTACCAATAATGTTGCAAAAATTTGAATAACACTCATAAAAATTAAAAAATTAGATTTGACTTGCAGGTGGAAATCTTTTTTTGTTAAAAGTAGACTTACCTAGTTAAATTTATACTTACTTATAGACTATAGTGCAATAATAAAACATCATATTTGAACCAATAATATTATAATCGACACTGCGCCTCCACGGCTCCACTAAAGTGTTATGTAGTTAGAAAATCTGTTTTATTCGGGTTATTCAGTGACGATTTTCAGAGTCGGATGAACTATAATTCTAACAGTAGCTCGGGAGCTTCAAGAAAGATAGATCAAATAATAAGTTCTAGGTATCTATTTATATGTTTTATTATTACACAGTTTTTAATTAAATTAAAATATACATAGTATGACGCAGGGGCGGATTGGGGAGAGATTCCGGCCCGGGAAAATACAAAGTATACCGGCTTACCAATTTACCAAATATTTAATTTTAGCCAACATAATATTATTATGTATTACTATTTTAACATAACTACACGTTTGGCAAGATATGAAATTTATAAAACTTTATTCGTAGTGTATATACATCGATATCAAATTTATTTTTATTTTTGAACAGTTTATGTTTACACATTTATAATAGTCCAAACTCCAAGTACTTATATATAACACATTAAAAGTGAATAATTTAAATTACTAATGTTACGATTTTTGTATTTAATAAGAAAGGTTATTACCTATTCAATAATATTTAATAATGCGTTTTTAGACTTAAATAAAATCTTATAATTTACTTCCACTTAATATACCTGATAGGTAAATTAACAGAATCAACATGCAAAATGTATGTGTTTTTTTTTATTTTCTAAAAAAATGTTTTACTGTGGTTTATTCATAATAACATTATGTAGGTACTTCAATTCTAAACAATCAGAAAAATTGTATAGTCTTGTTTTCCTTTAGTATTATTATGTAATATAATATTGAGTAAAATGTTTTGTCTCCGTCTTAGTACAATCCTTAGATCATATACTATGGATGGAGCCACTGCATATTATTTTGAAGCCGATATTAGCGACGAGTCACCGAATTAGGTGATCGATATGCGCATGCGCGAAACAACTCGTTTAATATTAATATTATAACTGTCCCCATCCCAGCCGAGTCACCGAATTAGGTGTTCGATATGCGCATGTGCAACGCAACCTCTCGCATATTTATCAGCTGGTGATTATAATATTAATATTAAACGAGTTGTTTCGCGCATGCGCATATCGATCACCTAATTCGGTGACTCGTCGCTAATATCGGCTTCAACTTTTTGTATTGCTATAATACGCAGTGGCTCCATCCATAGTATATGATCTAAGGTACAATCTAACAAATTATCTTTCACTATCTGTATTCACCGATCAGCCGAAACGATATAATAATAATATTTAGCTGTAGTAACTAAATATTATAGAAATTATTATATACCTACGTAATGTTACTTCCCTATTATTCAATAATTTATAAATTCGCCTAAACGATCGGTTAATTTCTGACCCAAATGATATATGCTTTACTCAAGTTAATTTTGGATTATTCGCCCAAACGAATGACGCTCAAATTTTTTACACCCGAAATACGTGTACTACTGTATTAGTATACTGAATTAAAAAGTGTATAAAACAATTTTCGGAAATTCAAACACTGTTCAAAAGTTACAGCAAATCATAGTTTTTGAATATTACAGTGCTTACTGCTCAAATCAGGTTGACTTTTTCTTTTTTCTACTTCCACGGGATGTCAAGTAAAGTAGACTTTTTCCGAAGTTTGTCGTTACCTAAAGATCACCCAATGTGGTTTTACATAACATATCAAGGGTTGTTTTCGATTTTAACTGTCCTAACTAGTGACCCCGCTATATTACATTTGCTGTTTTTGCTTTTCGAAAAATACTATATTTTTGTTTTCTGTCTCTCATCGTTGCGCCATCATAGATTGCCTACCTGATATACCTACTATTGCATACTGTCCGCAATCCAATTCCGGCAATACGTATTATCTTATTTTGAAAAATCGGGAAAAAAATGCAAATTTACTGGGCTGGTACCTAATAGGAATTTAAGAATACATAGTTATTTGAAAAAGCGGCCCACCGGGAAAACTCCCGAATTCCCGGTGGCCCAATCCGCCCCTGGTATGACGATAGACTTACGAATATTATGGTCATCCAGAGTTTGTTAGTGTGCAGGTGGCTGTTGGGCCAGAAATATTGAACTTAACACTGTGTGTATTTTGTATGTGTTAACAGTAGCATAGGTAGGTAGCAGGCACCTATATGTGTGCACAGATGACTATAATATATGTCTAACAAACTTTATTCTGTATGTATTACCAAAAAATAATAATTATGTTTATATGGTAAAGTTTGTAACGGTGTCATGACACTCATGCGTCCGTTGCATTGTTACAATAACAATTTTATATTTCACCTAATTGAAGATAGCAATATTATATTATACGTAATATATACTGCACTGGACAACAATAAATGATCAGGTATAATTCACAAAGTTGATGTGATTTGTTAAATTGTTATACTTATCAATTTTTTAAAAATTAAAATGTACAATATTATCACTTTCTTAACAATGTATACTATAATATTTCTTATGTTTGGGTTGTTATAAAGTTTTATAGTTTTATATGCGTATTTTACCAACCCTATGGGCCTGAGATGTATTTAAAAAAAAACTATATTTTTAATTATTTTGAACCATTCACAAAAATGTACAAGACCAAAATTAAAAAATAATTCATAAAATGTGAGTACAAAGTTTTTAATTAAGTTGATGATTATTAATCAGTTAACTATATTATTTTATGTAATAATGAAAATGATAGTAATATAATGGTCAAATAAAGATATAATATTTACACTCTTAATATTTTTTATTTAGTTTCAAATATATATTATACATAAGAGAAAAACCGTTAACTTAAAATTCCCAAAGTCCCGAAATTGGTCATGCAAGTATTTTTATTTATTCATAAATAAATGTAAAAATAAAATATAAAAATTATTTTACAAAAGTGTTTTTGAGAATACTTGTATTAAAATGTTGTTTGACTACAAGCAAAAAGAGAAATCTATTTAATTCATTTAATTTTTTCATAATTCTTGTTGTTATTTAATTTGAAGGAGGAGGTGGTGGCGGCGGAGGCGGCACTGCTAATAGTGTTTGCAAATCAGGGGGAGGCATCATCATAGTTGGAGGATTCATTGATGGTGGAGCTTTTGCTTGGTGTTGCTGCTGGCTTGGCCATGGTTGAGTAGGTGGAGGCCACATACCAGATACAGTTGTAGGAGCAGGAGGTGCAGGTGGTGGACCTTGTTGCCACGGAGGTGGCATAGATGTTGGTTGGTTGGGAGGTGGTGGAGGTGGTGGCATGGCCCATGGCATCTGTTGTTGAAAATTTTGATTTGATGCCGGTGGTGGTGGTGGAATGTTAGAATACTGTTGATTTGATGGCGGCGGCATTTGCCAGGGAGGTGGAACATTTATTCCAGGAGGAGCCATGGGTGCTCCATTCATCGGTTGATTTGACCATGGTGGTGGAGGTAATGAATTTGGTATTGAATGAGGTGGTGGTATTGACATAAGTGGTTTTAATGGTTGAGGCTTATTAAATAAACCTCCATTACTGTTCCCAATAGAAGGACGCATGGAATTATCATCATGTTTTGGTGGTGGTGGACCTTCACCAAGTTCAGCCATCAGAGACATATATTCTTCATCAATTTTATTCTTATCCTGACTAATTGGGAAACTAGCACCACCAGTGTTTTTCATTCTGCAATCTTTTGCAATATGCCCAGCCCCTCCACACTGAGTGCATAATATACTGTTTGTAATGTTAGGTTTATCTTGACACTAAAAAAATAAATAAAATAGAAAACATTATAATAATAATTTTTTTTTTAGTTCTTTTAATATTATTTGCATATTAATGACAGAAATCTACTAACCATTTAATAATAATATAATATATTATAGAATTTATTATAATTTATATCAATAATAAGTCCAAGTATGGAGAGTAGGCAAATAGTAAAAACATATTATTATTTTTAAGTTTTACAGACACATTTTGACATCCAAACAATGGCGTAGCGTGGGTTTCAGCTTAGCGTATGTGTTAAATAGTAAGTTAATGGAATCGTGAGGAGCTATGCCCCCCCACACCCCCTATACTGTTTTTAAAATTTTACTTTACACATACAAAGTTTTAAGTATCCATTAATAAATATTACATTTCTTAGTACATAACAAAATAGTATTAAAAGTAAATCACTTATTAAAAGTTAATGCACGTTAAAACTTATAATAGACTGTTAACGATAGCGTATACACGAGTGACCAATACACGACCACAAGCGTTCTATGTGTTGTTATTAATATTATCGATAAAAACTATAAATAACTGTAGCTGAAAGTCTATAACCGTATGCAATCGCCTACTTGCATACTGCTTACATAATAAACAAGGTACTGAGGTACTAGCCACTGGATATAAGGACTATAGCGTGTCACGGCCTGGGTGTTACGGATTAATCAATCCTAATGAATAATGATTAATGAACTTGGAAGAGAATCCACAAAATATTATATTAGGTAAAAAGCACTAAATTAGTACAATGAAATTTAAAACATTTTTATAAAAATATAGCAATATTAATATATAAAAAATATTTTTTCATTTTATGAAGTGTATGCTGTGCATACACAGCATACGCATACGCCACTGCATCCAAACTTAAGTTATGAATAGATTATAATATTGGAAGAAATTGTAACAGTTTGTGTAGGTATTGATATTTATACCTAATAATAATAATTATAATATTTGACCAGTATTTTGTTTAATTTAATTAAACTTAGCTAAGAATTAAAACAAATTCTATATAATAGGGTATTATCTATAAATAGGTTCATTGTTATAATGAAAGAGTGGATTCATATGTTTTTACATATCGTTACTGGGTCTATACAGTCTTATGAGTGTAAAAATTGTGGACAATTCGTTCAATACTGAATGCGTAGAAAAAAGTTTTTTTGCATATTTGAGAATATTTCATGGGTTAGAGAATATTCAACCCATTTAGCATATTTGAAATATTTTTTAAATTGTTAGAAAAAATTTGTATTTATTTTAATTTTAATATTACGGTAAGTACCTATTTAGAAAATAAATTTTTGAACATTTACAATTTTTTATTTTATCATTTCCAACTTACTAAAGTGCAATAGTATTCCATTAGAATACGTAACTTTTAATACCTAACTAATACCTCACAATAAAAATAATGTTGAAAAAAAAAAATTTTAAAATGCATATTAAGGCAAATAATGATTTTTATTGATTATTTTTGCATATTTTTTAAATTTTTAAAAGAATATAAATCCGGTCTTTAGTTATAATATTGAATTTAAAAGTAATTATTGGCTGTATTATGCTTAAGCAGTAATCCATAATCTTATAGCGCGATCAAGTTCTGTAGAATTATCATAATCTATTATACTCACCATCCAAGATTTATGATCAGCAGCACCACAATTAGAACACCTTGGTCCATCATTTTCTCTCAGAGTACCATTCAATAAAGCAAGTTCTCTAAGTTGCATGCGCCGCAAATCATTTTGACCTTCTGGAACTTCTACACCTTGTTTTATAATTTCTTTAATCTATAAATCATAAGAAATATAAATATTTGGTTAAATAATAACAAGTTTATGAAAAATACTTTGTTCACAGCTTTTTGAACATATTCAGGGTTGTTTCCAGTTACATAAGCATGTAATGGTTCATCTTCTCCTGGTAGTGGTTGTCCATCTTTACGAGCAACTTTTCCTTCTTTGACTGAACCTTTACCACGGATAATAATTTTTGCACCAGTTTCCTTTTCCATTGCTACAATACAATGCATAAGTAATAACATGACATTTAGGTAATAAAATAATTAATTAATTTTAACGAACATTTTAATGTATTTCCACGCGGTCCTATTAAAAGACCTACAAAATTGATGTCTGGATGTTCATCTTGAGGTATCATTACTTTATCACTAACACGAATAACTGGAGGTCTGAAATTTAGAATTTATATTTATTAGTTTTTACAACATTTATTTGTATTTAGTATTCCTATTTACTTATAATCAGCAGGAGGTTTAAATGTAGGATTTATAATTGCCATGCGTTGAATAAGCCTATGGCGTTCTTCTTCCAACTTTTTACGAGTTCGATATTCTCTAGTATTCATTCGCTTACCATCACTGCTATAAATGGGTTCTGGCGAAGGCGATCTGAAACAATATTGGTGATTCTTTCTTGGTATCTAGTAATTTAGCCATAAATTTAGTCTTAATAAAAATGTTTAAGGTCACGTGGACATTACATAATATATCAAATTATAAATTGAATGTTCACCATATTAAGATATGAAAATTTTTAGCATCCACTGGAAGAACATGGTTTAACTTCAAAAATTAAAATATAAATGCTAAATAAAAAATATTAATGAAAATTGTGATTAAACTTAAAATTAAACATATTATGCCTGTTTAGGAAAAATTAATTAATCACCTAACAAAATTAATGAAATCTTAATATTAATTTAATTAATTCAAGATTAAAGGAAGGTTCCACAAAACATTTAAAAATTAATTTTTCATTATTTAAAATAATAAATTTAAGAGTAAAACTGTGAAGTACCATAATAAATTTAATGGTAAATATTAAAAAATGTATAATATTAAAGATTTTTTGTTTTAAATGTAAAAACAAAGTAGTGGAACTTTCCGTGGTTAATTATTGACCCTAATCTTAAAATACTGCCTTTGGGAATTCTTTGTGTATTCTCTACTGAAAACAAAACAAATAGTATTATAAATGTCAATATTATGATTAGACCAAACCGTATAATGTATTGAAAGTAGTAGTGCTAAATAATAGTTGATGGATTTCCAAATCAGTCAAACCTTTCTTCAGGATTAGATGGAATGCCCAGCTCTCCTGTCCTCAGCTTGCGTCCAATTTCTTCTATTTGTAGTTGTACTAAAATGTAAACGGGTTAGAATAGGGCAAAAACGCCCGGAAATTAGTACATAAAGATTAACATAGCTCACACAAAATATTTTAAAATAAATATTTAAATTACTGATGAATAAAATACTTTAAATCATTCGTATTTATTCAGCGCCATGTTTTAATCTATATTTTTATTTTTTATTGTTAAATGATATAGTATAAAAATTATTTTAATTAATTTTTAAGATTTATATATTAATTAAATTTTAAATGTACATCCATAGTTTTTATAAGTTCTCATGCATGGTTGCAAATGGTTTTAATTTATATTGTGACAAGAACATTTATAAATTAACCTAAATAAAATGTTAAAAAATATGACTTTAGAATTTAGATAGAATAGATGTAAGCATATTAATCATATTATAATAAAAATGAATACATCAAATATTACGAAAAATCCAGAAGCTACACAATAAGTGAACTATGGTAAATGTAAAAAGTTTATAAGAGCATAAAATATATCAAATATCATTAGGTATTTCTTATTGCTACACAGTGACAATTAATATTTAATTTAGACAAATAATATTAAAATTGTAAATACATTAAATGTAATGAATAAGGGATATTAGTTCTTACAGAATAGATTTGAGCATAAAGTTTAAATTATGTTTTGGTTTTGGAACATGCAAGTTTTTATAAACTACCATGCCCAAATAAAAACTAAGTAATAACAAATTCAAAACTTTGAATATGTTCTAGTTATATTATTACCTAAACCCAAAAATATACAAATCCTTTCATATTCTTGTACATCGGGTTAGGCAGATAGTAGTCAGTGCGCTGTAAAGAAAAAAATGAATTCTATTCCATAGTTTAAAGTACATATTTATTGTATGTACATAGATTGAGCATGCTACTCATGATATTTTATTTCTCAAAATCTTAAAAAAGAATAAATAACTGAACATATTAGCCTTATTAAAATAAATATTTATAACTAATATGGTTGTAAATTAATATCAAACTTTAAATTGAAGTTTAATACATGTGAACTAGTTGGTTTACATCCAATAAGTATATAGCTCTACTACAGCTTATAAAGTATTAATGTATTATATAAGACAAGGCAAATAACAACAATAATGCCACATGTTTAAATCATTGTAACAGTTTGGTAGATATTTCTCAGCTAAATATTTCACTAAAAACAAAAAATAATCCTCATATTACAAAAATACAATATAAAAATGAACTTTCCAATGAGTTACATAATATTGCTTGTTTGCCCATACATACTTGGACAATACTGGTTTATTTAAATTCATTCACCGCGACTTAATGTTTTAGAATAAAAAACATAATCAACTAAAAACATTATTATCTTTCCATTTTTTTTTTTTTTAGATATTATTATTTTATTTCATGCACATGTTAAATTAAATCAGACATTTATAATTAATATTATTAATAAAGATATTGACTTACAAATATAAGCTTCCTCTTGTTCTTTAGTGAGGTTATGAGGCAGTACTGTGGGCATGCCTGGTATAAATGTCTTCTCCAAGTCACTTCCACCCCATCTCGACTTCTTCTTCCGCTTGCGGTCATTAGCATCAGAACCTGAAAATAACATAGATGATTTCCAAAATGTAACTGCCTTCGTAAGAGATATTTTATTCGTGAAGTTACCAGACGATTCGCGTTTATTCAATGAGCTATCGCCGTTCTGAGGTTGTACAAACATATTCATGTAATTATTGACGCCCATGTTGGAGCTCATATTTTCAACAGAAATTAATTCTGGTTGTCTGTGACGAGCCTTAGATACAACGACTGAAATTGTAGATTACTATTAGTCGAAGTTTAGACGTACAGCAGTCAAACGATCGTCCGTGAACACGATTAAATAAATTATTTGTACGTCGTTTACTTACGCGAAAACGGTATAGAGCATAAAAATTAGGTAGGTACGATCGACAATTAACTTATTAAGTACTTGACTACCGAACTACGATTTGCGAGGTGTTTATTTGTCTCACATAAACTATACGAAATACATATCATATAACGAAGCGCGTGCGACCTCTGAACAAGAGTTAACTCGGCTCGAGAGGTTTGGACTTCGCGATCGGGGATCCGGGCTTGAAGTTGAGAGCCTGATAAATTTATTCGTGTTTGTTGACGCCTCCCAGCACGACTCGGTAGTCGGTATAGAGCCATTTTTCGTTGGTTTTCTGTTCCATGACATAACCTTAATTTTTTATCACCATACTTTGAACTTATCACTCGTACTTCGTAGAATGGTTTGAATTCGAGTCGCATGCGGTGTGTGTATGCCGTATCATCGGGGCACTCAGTTCGTTTGTTGAAAAACATTTGATTCGCGTTTATGTACCGTAATGTCGTTTTTCATAAGGAAAAATGTTTCGAAACGAAAACAACCACCGGTACGCGTCATCAACAATCACATCAAGAAGAAAAAGACACAAAACCTAGCCGACGACGAGATCTCTTCCGACTCCAGTGAGTCCGACCACGATGACCGACAACCGTATTCGTCCGAATCGGAGAGCGAAAAGTTTATCACGGCGGGTGAGAAAAAAGTTCAACTCGCCAAGAAGTATTTGAGTGAGATTGAGGAAGAGGAGCGCCGACGTTTAGAGGATGAGGACGACGATGAACAAGTAAACAAAAATGTTCTGAAACGTTTAAAAGACGATGCCCTAGATCAAAAGGGGCAATTGAAAACAAAATTGGCCGACGGGTTATCGTTTCCAACCGACATTGTTGAGATGCGAAACAGAAACCACGCCAAGGCCATTACTTGCACGGTTATATCACCCGATGACAAGTATGCGTATTCCTGTTCAAAAGATTCTTCCATAGTACAGTGGGACTTAGAAACCTGTAAAGTACACAAGTCTTTGAGCTACAATCGAAAAAGACCACAACACAATCCGACTCACCACAACTATCCAGTCTTATCTCTTGCCGTTTCAGACAACTATTTAGTATCTGGAGACAATTCTGGTCTTATTGTGGTCCGAAATCCAATCACGTTGGATTATATAGGGTCGTTGACAGGCCACAAAGATGGTGTTACCGGCTTGACAATTTGCAACGAATCAAATCAACTGTTCAGTTGCTCAAAAGATAAAAGTGTCAAGGTTTGGAATCTTGTTGACATGTGCTACGTTGAAACACTTTTTGGCCATCAGACTGAAGTCACTTGCATGGACATGTTACAAAAGGATCGTGTAGTAACAGCCGGAGGTTTGGAGAATATAGTTAGAGTGTGGAAGATACAGGATGACACACAGTTGATATTCAATGGAACAGGTGGTTCAATAGATACTATTCAAAAAATTGACAGTGCCCATTTTGTCACAGGCAGCGATAATGGTGTTGTCAGTGTTTGGGGAACACTGAAGAAAAAACCATTGTGTAATGTCGAAAATTCACACGGAATTAACAATACTAATGACCAACCCAATTGGGTATCTGCAGTTGGAGCTTTAGCAAATTCAGACCTGATAGTGTCAGGAAGCAACGACGGAACTATTAAGTTTTGGAGGTGCACAAACAATTATAAGTCATTACTACCATTATTCAATGTTCCTGTTAAAGGTTTTATAAATGGACTTGTATTCACAAATGATGGTAGTAGATTGATTGTAGCCATTGGCAATGAACATAGATTTGGCAGATGGCACGATGTAACTGGTGTGAAAAACAGCTTGCATGTAATTAAACTGAACTTTATTAAAAAATAAATTATACAAAACAACTTTTGTTATTTTAAAATATACAATTTTATTAAACTTTATTCTTAAGACATTTGTCCTAATTTTATAATATTTATAATTAACTTTAGAAGATGGAGATCCAAAAAAAAAGATTACAAATAGACAATAGCTCTCATAGCAACTAAAATGATCCCAATTTATTCACTTATGTGTCTACCAATTCTATTCTGGTTTTCGTAACATTGACAGTGGTAAACTTTATTCTTCCTCCTTTTCCAGCTAATCTTTTAGTTACACATTACAAATTGTCTCCTTTTAATGTTTATACGCCCATCATCTAAATCAAAAAATAACTAATATTAAAATTTTCAAAAACAACATACATTTATAGATATATATTTTTTTTTTGATATTATAGAAATATATATATCAATACCAAATTTATTTTCAATAATAAAATTAAAAATTATTTCCAAGATAAAAGAAAAACATATTTGTTAATCTTAACAAGATCTATGAACAGGTATCTCATTTAACCCATAAGTTGTATGATCTGGTCCCATAGACCGCTGCAGTTTTTATTTTGGTTTACTTAAAATGTCTAAAAAATTGATAATTTCTTTAAAATTATTAAATTTCAATCAAAAAATTATAGTCAAATAAAAGTTGATACTGTAAACATATTATTTCTACAAATAATAGAAAAATATGATCCTAATATACTAAGTGGTCTAGGAGACCACACCATACCATTAGAGTAATTTTTGTTCACCGTACCACTTAAGGGTTAAATAAAAAAAATAATTTTCCTTAGGTACACTATTTAAATTTAAGATAGTGTGTGTTGTGTTATTAAGTTTTAGATGCATTGCTACAATATATCCAAACCATAAGTGATACTAAGTGTGTAACTTACAAATCCTGATACTCATTTTTAAAATCATAAATTAAAATATTATACATTTGATGACCTTTTCTAACAATAGATAAATGGAGTGGTGAGTATGAAAATCAGTACAAAGATAATAATAATAATAATCATTATTTACAATGAGACATTAATTTGTTATAGTGAACACTCAAGCTAAAGAAGACAATTTTGATACAAAATTATTTAATATATTAGTTGGGAGTCAAAAAAATTTTAACAAGAGCACCCCCGAGTTAATGACTATATAGTATATAGTGCCATAGTAGTTTATAATTTTATATTAAAGGCACATACTTCAAAAGATTCGATCGTTCAGTCCTAGTAACGCCAGCGAGTTTTCCACTTCGAACCTGTAGACAAACGCCTTGACAGAGTCTGCTGCTCTCTACAACTACAAGTGTGTCAAGCCCATCTCATTTTTGGGGACAAGACTTTTAGTTTAAACGTTTCTGTCGTTTCTGAGTTTGAAGTTGAAGTCGTTGCCCAGCCGGATAGTAGATGGTCTATAGCAGTTTACAGTATGCAATATGCATACAGATTTCCATATAAGTCTGTGACTTAGGAACCCCACACACGTGCCGGTGCAGCTAAGATAAAAGATAACCAAATAATTGAGTGATAACATTGACAACAGATAACTGATAAGCGATTCCAGTTTGAAATTAATTTTTATTCCATGAACAATAGTCATAAAGAGGGAGTAGGGACCATTTTTCTGTGGTAGTATACTTGTTTATAGTAGGGGGCAGGGGCTAGGGGGTCTAGGGTCCTGGGTCTATCCTACTTAGTACTTGATATACTAAATACTCATCTATGGGTACAAGGCACCAGTATTCTTGTCTATGCAAGGCTTAGATCATATACAGTATTGTATCATTGTATATGATCTAAGATGCAAGGCACTAGCCATTCAGGGGTTAAAGTGGGGGGGGGCGAAGGAGCCAAGGAGGACTCAGTCCCCCTACCTCTGACGGTGGTTTAAAAGCGTCCCCCTTTAACAAATTATGATTTTATACATTAGGCATTTTACATAAAATTATATAATATGGAACGCTTAAAACTATATGGACTATGGAGACACTATATGGAGTTCCCTCTAGATTTTTTTTCCACTTTAACCCCTGTAGCCACAAGTACTAAACTACTAACTATAAAAAAAAAAACTATACTTTACTTGTACTTACAATACTTTTTAGTAAGCCTTACTAAGTAATTACTAACTACAACTAGCCACTTGTCGGTAACATTGATATTATAAAATCAATGGTAGGTAGTAAAGTATCTAAGTACCTACATAAAAATAACAATTTTAAATACTTACTACCATTGTATTGCACGTATTGCAATTTGCAGTATGCACATTGCTCAGTTTCAGAACTGCACTACTGCTGTGTATCGAGCATAGTAAAATGAATGGTACCGAGCATTCGATACTTGAGTCTATTCAATACCGTATTGTAATTTATATTTTATAATGTACACCATCACCGTACAACCACAGATTAAAAACTATATTTTTATCCGTAGACGGTGATGATACAGCCTGTCCGTCCGGTGCTCGACTCTCGAACCCAACCTGTCGGGCTAACCGTTATTACTTGGTAGTTGCAATAAAAAATAAAAAAATATTTGGTACCTATTAACACTATGTCGTGTCTACAATCGACGCCATCGACACATACGTCACGACTCACGTGTGTGATCGTGTGACTCACTGATTTTGACGTTCATATTTCAATGTTGATTATAACTGTATAGCCGTCAATTGCCAGTCATATCTGCCACAGGTGAGCCGAAGGTGCATCGACGGCTGTCGGCTCGTTGCTACCTGTATGAGTTATAAGATTTTTTTTCGTTTTGCTTATACTTAATAGTCGAATCAATTATTTGTGGATAGTGTTTCTAGCCGACGACGGTGAAAATATATTATATTACCTACATCATATTATTCAGTTCCTTTTAAAAATTGCATAAAAACTATGCATACCGCTATTAATAAATATTCTTTGGTCCGCAATGCGACCAAAAACATATTATGTGGCTGTTTCAAACGGCGTTCGTCTCATTTTGTATATCACCCTGAACGGATTTCCAATGAACTCGGTGAGATTATCATAATATTATATCCACGAAATTAATATTTCCATTGGTTTTATTTCAATATTTATTGTTTAACACATTTTAGGTAAAACTAGTAAGAAGAATATGTATCAGGCAATCAATAGTGCTATGGATTTGGTACTGAGCAAAGATCCGAACAGTGGTAATTTATTATAATGTAAAATATTAATCTTTAGGTATTTCTTTACTCTTAATATTTTTTCATTTACCTACATAGATATTTCATAAAAAATTATTACAACTTGGTTTTTTAACTATAATAGATGTATTGTCTATCATAATTGGATGGTTTTTTTTTATTTTTATTTATTAAACAATTTATTTAACAATTGTTTTTTTTAAGAATACAATATCTCAATGTTCTAATTTTCAGTATAATGAAAATAAAAATTACTGATAAATTAACTATAGTTCATTAATTCTGGCTGATGAACAAACCTTCACATGAATAAAACATACTAATATATTCTAGTACAGTAAATTATACAACACTATTAATTATCCTGTTTGCAAAATTAACATACATTTTCATTAGATATTTTATTGAGATTATCTATTCACTTCGGCTGTTGTTTTAACATTTTACCATTCACATTTAATATTTCTATTACAAATGATTGGTCCTGAATAATGTTTGATTCTGACTTTGTTGTATAATAAATGGAATATTATGTTAGGTACCTATGTATAAAATGAAGAAAAGTCAATGGGTTAAAAGATAAAGAGTCATATCTGTACATAATCTACTCTCATTAATTATTTGCTACCGTTTATCTAAGGTAGGTACATAATAATAATTTTATTGTTCAGAATAAACAAACTAATTTTTTGGCATGTCTGCACCAAAAATTTAATTTCTAATGCCTATGATAGTACTTTAAAGTGATCTTTCTCTGCCCAACGGACAGCAAAGTTATTGTCCAAATCAGCTGAATATTAATACACAACGATGAGCACATACAACATTTTTAACGGAATAAATTGTAGTGTATCGATAAGTATCGGGTCAATTTAGAGCATTCAAGAAGTTACACGTCATGTAATAAACAAGCAATGTATATCGACTCGTATCGGACTCAGACTTCGATACGAGTTGGTATGTAACTATTTCCTGTCGCTACGTATCAAGTTTTTCTTCTTGAAAATCTTGATTATGTTGATACGTTTTGGTTATCGATAATAATACGGTTCAGACGGTTCAGTATATTATTAAATTTATATTTTATATTATAATGAAAATTTGTCATTTGCATAATATATAATTTTACGTGTATTGATATTCTAGTTGTGTTTGGTGAAGACGTAGGATTTGGTGGTGTATTTAGATGTACTAGTGGCCTGCGTGAACGATATGGTGAAGACCGTGTTTTTAATACTCCACTCTGTGAACAAGGTATTGTTGGTTTTGGAATTGGCCTTGCTGTAGCCGGTACCACAGCAATTGCAGAAATTCAATTTGCAGATTACATGTTTCCTGCATTAGATCAAGTACTTTAATAATGTTGCTTAATAATGATACTGATAAATTGTTATACATCATTTATTTTTAGTTGGTGAACGAAGCAGCAAAATATCGGTACCGTTCTGGTAATTTATTTGACTGTGGTAAATTGACTGTACGAACTCCGTGTTCTGCTGTTGGTCACGGTGCACTTTATCATTCACAAAGTCCTGAAAGTTTTTATGCCCATTCACCAGGACTCAAAGTAATTATTATTTTTAATTTGTGTCTAATAAGTGTTTGGCAAACATCTCAACATTTTATTATTATTTATTTTCAATTCTTAAAAAGTGGATGTCTCTCTGCTGTTCAGTAGGTTACTTGTGGGTCATTGTATAATGGATTGTATTAAACTTGAATTCAATGATATAATATCATTGTATAAAAAAAACGATTCTGAGCGGAGACGGTATGTCAGACTGGATATTTTATATTTTTATTATTAATTATATCATGTAAGTTGAATTAATATTATAATATTATTATTTTTTCTTCGTTTCTATGGTGAAAAACAAAGCGTTATAAATTAAATTCCTATTTTTAGCGGTTTTTCGGTGATTTTTCCGGTGGCATTATATAACTATTGAGAAAATCGAAAAATGGCCCCTCTAAAGTACCATCATGATCTAATTTTCTAAAAGATAAGGTACTATATGTTGAAATCAAAGCACTCCTTCTGGTAGAAGTTTTGTACATAGGATATAAAAAATAAACACCATTGTAAAAGCAATAGCTTCCTCGCTCCGCTCAGAATCTAATATATTCTTACTATAGTAATAAAAATTATTGACTATTATCTTTAATATGTTTTTACTCTTTACGTAATAAACATGAATTATGATCGAAGGCATTAACTAAGCATTATGAAAAAGTATACAAACCATATTAATAAAAAATAATATTTATGAAACTGTAATTTATGTATCTGGTTTTATATAAAGGTAATAAATTATAATAATAGTGTTAAATTTAATTAATTATTGTACAGAGTGTTCATAAGGTTTAGATGCATTCAATGTCTTGGTATCCCTTCTATACACTGAATTTAATTACAATTTATATCTAATTTTTATAATTCATTTTTACCAGCCTTTAAAATAATTTAGAAGTTCTTTATATTTTATATAACAATTATTACAGATTGTTATGCCTCGCAGTGCACAGACAGCAAAAGGATTACTTCTATCTTGTGTGCGAGATCCAAATCCATGCATATTTTTTGAGCCCAAAATTATGTATAGGTTAGCAGTAGACGATGTGCCTGATGATGACTATGAACTACCATTAGGAAAAGCTGATGTATTGATCGAGGGTAAAGACATCACATTAATTGGTTGGGGTACTCAAGTTCATGTCTTGCTTGAAGTCGCAGAAATAGCTAACAAGGATTTTGGAATTTCTTGTGAAGTAATTGATCTGGTGACCATACTGCCTTGGGATAAACAAACAGTGACAAAAGTTAGTAGTAAAAAAAAATGTTACATAAACATATTCATTTTTATATTTATTAATTATTAATATTCAATCTACTGTACTTTATTTAGTCTGTGAAAAAAACTGGCCGTGCTATAGTGTCCCACGAAGCTCCCTTAACTGGAGGTTTTGGGGCTGAAATATCTGCTTCAATACAAGTAATTAATTATTTATTATTTTAACTTTATTATTTTAAAACCATTGTTTTTTCAGGAGGATTGTTTTCTCCATTTAGAGTCTCCAATACGACGCGTAACAGGTTATGATACTCCATTTCCTCATGTTTTTGAAAACTTTTACTTACCCAACAAATGGAAATGCTTACAAGCTATCAAAGAACTAATTAATTATTAATAACATCATAATTTTTGATTTAATTGTTATTAAAGTTTTATTTTTATTACTTATTAAATTGTTTTAATTTATTTAAAAAAAAAAAAAAACTTGAATTACTTAAATAAATGAAAGTTTTTTTGATGGTTGTAAATTGTAATGATTGTAAAAGTATTCAATTTAATAAAATTAATATATTGAAAATTAAATATGCCATTTAACAATAAACCATGGCATTATGAATGGGATACTGCAGTTTGTTATTGATATTTTATAGTGTTTATAGTGTCGGGGCCTCATAAACTGCTGATGACGTTTGTTATTAGAAGATGAAAAATATTTATGTTATATTATCCATGTAAAGATAGTAGACCCCCCTCATCCCTTTAATAACAATGATAATATGATATGTACATTAAATATTAAATATTATTTTTACTTTTATATCTTATTAAAAAAATATTAATTGTCATTTATAAAAGTAGGATAGTGTTATACATCAATTTTATTTTATTTTTGGCATATAACATCAAGAACATTTTCAGGACCAATAACCAATTTTGGTATTCGTGTAGTATGCTACCCATAGGCTTAAATAGTGTTTGAAATTTGTGGGGGGGGGGGGGGGCTGTAGCTCAGGTCTATACTTGATACTCTTATTTTGTTTGTCTCATACAATTAGTTTGTACTAAATAGTTTGTTCTACTTTAAATATGTGTAAACTATACAAGCCGGTTGGCGTTAATCTTATAATAAATAAAAATAAATAAATAAATAAAATGATGCTTTTAAATTATAGTAGTGAAATTATTCGTTTTAGAGGGGCTATAAAAATGCTATGTATACTGTTCTATATATGACAATTTTTAAAAATGAATAGTTATAACATAAGTAACTTAAATCTATTTAGTAGACCGAAATGACAGTAATATAATCACAAAAACCAATAAGAGGATTATAAAATAATAATAATAATATCTAGGATAATAATACAAATAATAATATCTTAACGTAATAATAAAAATATCTAGGATAATAATTCAAATAATAATATAAATTATAAAATAATATAGGTATATAATATTATAATACCATGTAAAATGGGTAATATTGTTACAATAGCAGTTTAAAAACATTAAAAACACATTGTTACAATTTTTTTTTTTAGAAGCACTTTATGTTCGATTTTTGGCAAAATTTAATAATTATTTTCTAATAAAAAATCATCGAATCAGTCAGGATCAGGACAAGTTATTTTATGTACTAAAGATAATCCACGTTGGAAAATAATTTGGTTCATACCTATTAAATATTTAAATACACCTACTTTATTCATAACTCATAAGAAGTCAGTCTATAAAAATAATAATATTATTATAATATTATATATCCAGTAAAGCACTAAAGCAACACTTATGTACACAATGTTACAAGGTTTAAATAAATTGGTGTATAAATTATACCTACAACTTACTATAAGTAGAATTCGTAAAAATCTCACAAAAATGTCACAGAAGGGGGGGGGGGGACACAACCCATCCAATCACTCCAAAAGGGAAAAAAAATTATTATTTTTAAGATTATTTTCCAATATCTTAGGATGAAGCATATTATTTTGGTTTACCACAACATTTGGTTTACCCCCCCCCCCCCCAAGTACCGTTATTATTGTGGAGCCACATTTCGGAGATGAAATCATTAAAGTCTACTGCGTTTTAAAAACTTAGTAGCTCATCAACGGGGTCGGTGGTCGTAATTTAGCAGAGAACTAGATTATTGGTATACGACTTAGAAATTCGCATGACGGAAACAGGCATACAGGTCAGAGACTTTTTTTGTAAGTATTTTACTGGGCCTGGATCGATTGTCAATACCATATTTCAGCATAACTGTATAATATTATAAGTATATTTAATTAGGTAGGTACATTAGATCATAAAATTTTGTTTGATTACAAATATATGTTCATTGTGTGTTTTGTTTAGGTTTATTCTGCTATCCATATTATCTACCTATTACTATTTACTATTGTTACATAACCATTTCAAATATTAACTCAGCATTAATTTTTATAGCAACAATTTTTATTTATAAAAAAATATTATTGTTTATGATTTTCAATAGATAGTTTTACCTATACTACGCGTTGTAATGTTTAAATGTATCTATGCAGGTACAATATGTTAAAATAATAAGATGTATCTAATTGCTATTGGTTCTTATTATTTAATTCGTAGGTATTAGGTACCTACTTACTCATTACTCAACAGCAACTTGTATTCATAAAAACAATCACTTTGTACCTACACATATTGGCATATATTATTTATCCCACTTTTCTTCTTCAATAATGAAGTTATAACTTATAATTTATATAATATGTTTACTAAAAATGTAAACCTTAACTTTTTCATAGGTGGAAAACAGTGGCGGCTTAAGACTTAAGAGACATGATTGGGGGTGGGTCCAAGTCATAATTTTCAGAAAATTTCGATAATATTATAGTATGATTTTTTCTGTAACTTTGTTTTAACAGCATACACTTGTTTAGAAATACAGCTTCTTGCAGGAGGGCGTGGCCACTAGGCCCCCCCTTGGTGGAACACAATCTAATATAATGATAAATGAAGTTAAATAAACACATTTGACAAATTAAGAATATTACATTAATTATGTACAATTTCATATTTTTCGTGGTCGAAAGTTCGCTCCAATAATTATCACCAAACATCAATACAGCAACAGAATTCCAAGCTTAGACTTAAAATTTAACTTTCGTCACGGTTGTCACTGACGCCAACATTCCATATACGCATGGGCGTATTACCTCAACTTTAATTATAAGTACCTATTTTAAAGTCAACAATTTTTAAAATGTCACCGAATTAAATGGAAAAACGTAGTATAATATATTACACTAAACTGTACACCACCGATCGTATCACTAACGGCGTAAATGGAATTATTTTAATTTCGGGGTGCATCTGGTCGCGTCCAAAGTCTCACTTTAATCATGTTGTATGGTATCCACGGTGTAAAAGTGTAACCGCTGTGGGTTGCAGCAGTCAATAAACGTATTCGACGATCACGTTTCATTGCACATGAACGAAGTCGATGTGTGGAAATTACATAATATTGTAAATTATATAAGGTACCTATGTACCTACCTATTAATATAATAATTAATAATATTTAAATCATCGAACGTTTAATGTTTAAATTATGTGATTTGATATTAATTTAGTGTTCTTCTGCAGACTGAACACTCAGTGAACAGGCTTCCTGGCTTCTGCTGTCTTCATAATTAATCATATAGATTGGTACTTACTACTTAGTCTAGACAATTGAACGAGTTGCAATAGATAATGTAAGCTGACTGCTGAGTAGGAGAATTTCAAAACACCAGGCCAGATAATATAATATACCTATTTATTGTAAAATGGATAAAAATATAGATTTACGAAAATTGCATAATATATGAGTGATGTTTACATGATAATACGATTATAGTTCTCTCCGGTCTAAGAATAACCGATTTCAAAAACCAACATATTTTTTTTATGTTTGTTCCCTATGGCCACCTCACATTTCAGATATTTACAATAATTTAATGACAATGAAATATATAAGAAATTTAAGCGTAAACGCGTCAGTGGCCCGTTGGAAAGAATACATATTATTATGGCGTGTAAACGTGTCGCCTGCGTTGAAAGTGTTGAGAAATGCCAATAAGGCTAAAAGATCCGAAAATAATTTTTTATTTAATTCAAAAAAAATGTTTGTAGGATTGCACAATTTCAAGTCTTCTACTTGGACTTGTAATCTGAAAAAAAAAATTATTTTCATGTAATTTTCCGTGTTCTCTTGCAGGGGCGTAAATATGGGGGGCGGGGTTAGAGGGATAGATTTTTTTTTACTGCTAACATTTTGATCAAATTATTGGTAATGACCATTAATGTTTGCTAAAAACGTATATCCCCCCAAACAAAATTCCTTATTACGCCACTGAAGAATGTTCTCGTTGTTTACGTCGGGTGGATCTCTTCGAAATATTATGATTAATAATATTCGATTAGATATAGACCTTGTTAGTTGTTGGCACGTTACACAATTATTTTTTAAGTAAAAATCTTAAAATAAAATTAAAATCCCAGATTTGGGCACTGTAAATGCCCTAAACACCCTATAAAATGTTATAAATTTAAAATTTAAAATTATCAAAAAATAAAAACTTCTCATTCTGTATCAACTATCAAAAATACACGACACTTACTGATCTGGCTACCTATAGGCTATATGCAATACAATACGAGCATCATGTAGCTACTTTGGAAAACAATGCAAAGTGCATCGAAATCCAAGCGCCCTAGTTATAATATTATGTAGGTAGGTATATAGTAGAATTTTCTCAAAAAGGGTTTATAATTTCGTATTACTAACTCATAAATTGCTATTCCTCATAGAAGTACATAATATTACGTGTATTGATTATAAATATATATATACTTACATTATAATAATATAATATTATAAGCATATGAACTAATGCCGATTATGTAGGCGCTTTAAACACAAACAGGAAGTCTGTTATCTTCGAATCTATTGTTTTTTTTTCTAGGTGAGTATCTGTTAATTGCTATATGCTATTTTCAATATTATGTTTCGTAATATTATTTTTGTATTGGCGAAGGCTAAATATTATTACGATAAATTATTATATATATTATATTATAATTTAAATGCAAACTTTAATTGTGTTCCATTGAAATTCGTATGTGTCATTTATTGTAATATACCTATATTATATTGTACACTAATAGTGTAACACTATTACTATATATAGTTATATATCGTCGTATAGGTTATACTTTTATACTATATATATATGTATAACAGGACCACGGTTGTGCGTATCACGTGACGTTCATATAGGTAGGTATGCATCAATGTACCATAAAGGTAGGTATATAATATTATATCGAAATTTAATTAAAAATTTACCGCTTTTCATTCGTCACGTT